CAATTGTCATCACAGAAAAGAATTAGGTAATACTTAAATAATATATACAATTGATTATGATTATATAAATTTTATATCTGGAATGGTTTTAAAAGGTTCAAGCGTGGAAACGATGTTTAAAAAATTCTTAAGTTTATAAAACTAAATAAATAGATAAATCGAGTAATTAACTTCAATAAATGTGAAAGAAAAATTAAAACGTAAATTAAATTTAGGTTTTCTTAACAATTTTCTATGTATAAAAAATTATTACTATTACTATTAAAAAGTCTCGAGAACTATTTTATTAGAAATAGCTAAATCAACTGAAATTTAGTATTACATGTATATAGAATATTATTAATGACATATCAGAGAATAAATATAAATCTAAGTTGTCCATTGTGATTCTTTCATTAACAATAATGACATAATACAGTCTAATTCGTAAAATTCCTAATTCCAAAATGCCAATTTTCAAGAGATGGGAAAAACTTTTTAGCGTATTAATGTGTTTTAAAAAATAGCTGTAGTCCCTGCATACACCAAAAAAGTTTTTATTTTGCCTATTTATATAGCAGGAAATAATACCCTTTGTTATAATTCGCCCATGAGCGAAACTAAAGTGAAAATGCTGGGGGTACTAAAATTGAATTGTGTTTTAGGACCCATGGGTTGGAGCTCTCACATCCCCGAATAACATCTATTAGATAATTACCTATCAATCCCATTGTAAACAAACTTTTTTTTTACCAATAAAAAGTTATATGTATTTATAAATTTTGTTAAGTTATTCTGAACACATCATCAGTCAGTACTGAATGAATTTCAGTTTAAATATTTTATTAGAAATAATTTAAGTTGAAGTAAAAAATATATAAGTGTATTTTTTATTTAAAAAGGTTTTTATTCAGTTAACCATGAATTATTTTTTTAAAAACTTGAATTAACAGGTATCAGAGGAAATGCCTCCAACTATTTTAAATCTTACCTATTGGACAAAACCTAAGTTATTAAAGTTAGAGGTTCAATTAGCAATTATATGTTTACTATAAATAGATTATTGCAAGGAACTGTTTTATGTACTCTATTATTTTTAATCGACACAAATTGTATTTTTGATCTAGATTTAGATGCAAAATTAATTGACCCTTGTAATAACTAAAAATAAACTTGATGGGGGTGGTATTAATAACAGTAAAGAATGATAATGGCATCATTTGTAATGACATAATAAATACAAGTACTTTGATTTCTAGTTATTACTTGATTATTGTAATTAATGTGTTAAAACTACTCTTACCTGATATTCCTCGATAGTAGACTATGATCTACGATGTATACACGATATGTGAGTCAACTCATTAACGTAGATGATCACCAAAATATTATCAATTTAAAATAAAATACTAAAAATTATATAAGCACATATATTATAAGCGAAGTGATAGTTATTTTAACTAAGGAATGTTATAAGCTGAATTATAAATGGATGTTAATAGCGAGAAACTAAGTCATATATTAAGAGTTAGAGTACTGCACTAAGATGAACTATAAAATAAAATAAGAGAGTTCAGCTGACTACTTAGGTGTGATCACGAAAAGAGAAATTGACGGACTACGAGCTTGACGGGTGTCAAAAGATAGAGCAGAGTCTAGAGATCTCTTGGCTCTTTCATATTAAATCATGGGTTATAGTAATAAAATTCATTTTTATAATAAAATTTACCTAATTAAAAAGAGTGTCCTTTACAACACGGTACGGGGACTATTGGTACTGTATCATTGTTTCTTTAATATATGTAAACTAATAATATTAAGCGATATACTAGATATTGTTAATTTTGTGTGAGTTCGTTAATTGCTTGTGTCGGTCAGTACTATGTAAACAATAATAATTAAATCACGTCTCTGTGGTGTCAGTGTCTCTTTACTTTGCTTAGCTAAAATGTATAAATATTTGAAACTTCTATAAAAGAATATTACACACTAGTTCCAGTAAACAGCGAGTCTAATAGAATGGTATTTAGTAAAGCATCTGTAGTAATTAGTTAACATAAAGTTTTGTTTGATAACAATTTTAAGGGACCAAATCAAGTTCAGTTGAAATATATATTTATAAAAATTTACAACAATAATAATTCTAGAAACATTCCAACTAGAGCTCATTCTAGTAATTTTAATTCCAGTAATTGCCTTATGTGAAAAGATTAAATGTGTTGAATCTATAATTTAAATACTTCAGTATTATTTTTTATGCAAATTTGAAGTTGGTATCTTATAATATATACTTAGTGGTTAGAATAAAACAATTATTTTAGAAATTCAAGCTTTTTAAATGGTATATTAGAGAGAAAGTTTTAGAATAAATTAAATAGCTTTTAGATCAATAGATTATTAATTACGGAATTATAATTTAGGCAATGATGAAAAATTTTGATTAAAATTTGTAATCACTTATGAATACGTTAAAGCTTGTAATCACTTTTCAAAGGTATTTTTAATAAAACATTTTATTTTAACGTAGAAGATTTGTACACAACTTTAATGTTAGAAATCTTAGAAGTATTTATAGGTTTAATTATTTAAAATGTAAATTTGGATAATTTTGAGTTGTCTCGAAATGATTTTACTTGTCTTAAAAATCAAAGTAACTTGGTTTAGCCTGCTTTTCATAGGCGCAAACAGTGGGTGCTTTTTTTGATATCTAGTTTTTTATTATGTAAATATACAACGTCATCAAGGTAGTATATGTATTTTACATTAAATAAAGTAATAAGTTTTGGTTTCAACAATTGTAGTTGAAATGCTACAGTAATAAGAAAAAAATATGTGTTATGTTATACATAATTGTTTATTTATAATTAGATAAAAATATTGGGTACGCAATTTCGAGCATAACAAGAAAATTATTTTGGTTTTTTGAACTTGAGTATTTTAAAAATTAAAACACTATTTAAAATTATGCTGCTGCTAATAAATCTTTACCTAAAAAACTTTGTTTAAATATTGATTTTAAACTATATATTAAGTTAAAAATTAATTTAAGTTTTTAATAAGCTAAAACGTTCTTTGTAATTTACATATATAGTATTGATTGGAATTATATTAATATCATAAGCTCCATTTGAACAAAATGTTGGAGAGATCTAACTTCATTTCTCCTCTCCTCAAAATGTATCCTATATAAATTTACATTCAATTTTTATAACTTTCAGGGGTTATCATAGTTAGGGGCAACAAAGTTAAAGGAGATAAGTCTTTTTTTACCCCACCAGAATATGCCTATGGTTGATATAATTGTATAGATTTAGCTATTAAACTTAAACGTGAAAGCGATTCATTATATTTTATTTATTTAATAATTATTGATACAAACTTATTATTAATTTACATTTTGGGATGCTAAAATTGTTGTATATAATTACGATTTGAATTTTTACGTAGAAATAATCGCAAAACTACAATGTTGAAATTTTATCTTGATAAATAGAATAAATAGGGATTAATTTATAATTTAGGTTTCCACAAATGTGCATTTATAGGTTGACAATGAGCTCTCCAACTCTATTTTTCTGACGTTACCTCTTCATTTTTGAGCCCTAAAAGTTATGGTTAAACTTAAGTTACTTAGCAAAAACTTAAAGTTACTGCTACTAACTATATATTTCAAATTTTTATATAAAGACAAATATTATGAAATTTCAATGTAATAATAATAATAACCCTTAATATATTAACCATTTAAATTGGACACTGTTATTTATTACTCTACTCAGAATTAATAATTAAATATTAAACATTTATTCACTTATTCATCATTTTCGATCAAAATTAATAAGGTTTTAAATTAATAAAAATTTTTAATCTGAAAACGACAAAGTAAACTAAAATAATACTTATAAATATTCTTTTAATTTTTTCTTTTTACTAGCTAAGATAAAATTATTTAGTACTTAAATAAGTTCAAAAAACAGCTGAATCTAATGAATATTTTTTAAACGTTAAATACAAGGTCACAGACAGTTTCGAAATGGTTAATTTATATAAAATTATGATATACAAACTAACCTTAAATGAATATCTTAAGATACAAAAAAATTGTATTACAAAATAATTGTTAAAAGTTGCGTATTATTAGTAGTGTATATCTGTCTGGTGACCTTCACGTCGCGTCTACGAAACCATCTTATACCAAAAATTAGTACGAGAGTCCTTGAGCTGCTCATTAAACGCAATTACCTTGCAAGTCCTAAGTATGTCATTACACAAATATTTCGAAATACGAAATGACAATAACGGTACAAGTTCACCAATAGGTACACCAAATTTATATTAAAAATAGTTAATATATAAATACTTTTGTGGTTAAAATAAATAGATAACACAGAAATATATTTTATTTGATGTATATGCATATTCCAATTATCTTTTTAGACTTCCTGTTAAAAACGACATTAACTTTTATGAGAAAAAATAATTTATTCATTGATTCCTCAAAATATAATTTATAAAAACCAAATGTATAAATTAATCTTATTACATAATTTATAATCTACGTAAATCAATTATGCATAATCAAATTATAGTATGATAAATCAAAACACGTTTTATTGCTAATTTTCTAATTCTATAAGAAAAGCAAATATTGTATGATCAACATACATAATAATAAGAAAATTCTTTTTCACTATTTTTTTTTTTTTTACAGTAACAGTTTTGATGCATAATTGAATTGTGCACCAATTTTAACTCAAATTTGTCATTTTTAACAACATATTTCGACACATGTTTTATAATTTGTCTCATAAAACAAAAATCACATCTGTTACTCTAAAGATTCATTTGTTTTAAATATTTATAATTGTGAAAATTTACTTTTAATCATTGTAGTAGCTCTTTAAACCCAAAACAATTTCTATACTGCTAAAATGAATGCAACTTAATTTATAAATATAAAATTGTGAATATACTTATGAAAATTTTTATTCATGAAAAGCAATAAAATATGTAGACATAACTGTACTGAAAATATTTTTATTTAATACTTAAAAATAATTTTTATTGCATATTTAATTTAGTAATTAATATTAAGATATTTTCAAAACGTTAGATTTAAGAAATCATTAGAATTGAAAATTTTTTTATAAATTTTTTAATTTACATAGATCGATAATCCAAACTTAATAGTAACTGTCACAAATTACATTCAAATTGTAAAATATAATTTAACAATTAAAAGTCAGCACTTTTTATTCATATTGCACTTTTGCATTTCTATTGACTTATAAATAAATTATTGCCTTATCATATCTTAATTAGTAAATATTAATCAAACATAGGCACTCACTTTACTGAGATTAAAAATAAACGATAGTATTAAAGATATTGTTCAGGATGTCAAAATAAATATGTTAATTTTATAATATACTTTAGTAAAAATCTTTCCATAAGTTTGAGATCAGGAAAGTTTTTTTTATATAAAAAAAAAATTTCAAAAAAATTTATATGGCACAACTAATTTATAAATATATTAGTGGTCAATAAAAAATAGATTGTTAAGTAAACATAAGTATTTTTGTATATATATAAAAGTAATGATGAAAAATATCTAATTTTGTTTTTATAAGATTTAAACTTTGTTTAAAACACAAATTTTTAATTTTTAAGATCACAAGATAGAACCAATGAAATTTAATAGTATTATTAACATATTTTACTCTGACTACCCCTACATTAAAACTAATAGGCCTACATAATCTATTCTTATTTAAAATAAGCATTAACTATTATTATTTAACTTGCACATAATCAAAAATAAATAATTTAAAAAATTCATATTATTGTTTTACACAAAAATAAAAATTTTTTCTCGAAAATTTATTTTAAATAATTCTGTTGCTTGACTTATTAAATTAAAAAAAATCCGTTAATAAAATATGTTAGTGATTCACAGATGAGGTTGACAAATATATTCAGCATGTTACTTTATAATTGTCTCTTCTGCTTTGAACTCAATTGTAAAAACAGTCTTCAATTAAAAAAAAAAATGAATAGGTATATACAATAATACGAAGACTAAAATCATATTGAATGGACCGCAATTGAATTAAATTCTGGACTAAGATTTATTTGTTGACGATGGTCCCATTCTTGGGTGTCGGTGGTATGGGATACTCTAGAACGAGTAAGTATTCTAGCATTGTTATGTTTAATAGCCATTTGTAATGTATGCCTCCGATTTAAACGTTGTACACATGACACACATAATGTAAGTGGTAAACCATCTGATGATTTAATCTGAAATAAAAGAAGGAAGTTGTTAATATTTTTAAAATTTAAAATACAACCCTGACAACCACTCAGTTTTTATTATTAATCTAATTCATAGTTAAATTTCTTGCTGACGTTCATTTTTTTTGTTCTTACAATTAAAATACATTACTCCTATTAATTTAAGCCACTAATAAATAAATAAAAACTGTCAGACAAATTTTTGTAAAAAAGAGTACATCATTTCATTTAAAGTTTACATGAATTATAGAATTTCCATAAAATTTATTTTAAATAAAGATTTTAAAATCTTTTAAGTATTATTATTCTATGTTGTAGAAGTTTAATCTCTAAATAAACTTTTATTTTTTAACATTTCATTTAAAAAATACGTGTATTTTAAGTTACTCCTCAAATTTAATAAAAATCTATAACAAATTCATTTATTTTACACTTTTTATTTATTTTAATAAGTAGTAACTTAATTTCTTTTAGTCTAACTTTTATGCTCTACATAAAATTTTTTTTTTATAGTACCAACAAAATATACAGTGATTTTTTTTAACATGAGTGAAAATCTTGCATAAATAACATCTTATAAATAATCTTTAGCTAAGAATAAAGTAATTCACGACATCAATTTAATAAAAAATTTTGATTTTTTATAGAAAATTTTTGTTTATTAGATTATTTTATAGCTAAAGTAAATTATTGGTAATTTTAATGTTTCTATTTTATATGTTCAGATATAATCTTATCTCCAACTGAATAAATATTGATTAAAATACATCAAACAATAAATCTTTTTATTTAACTGAACAATAAGAAAACAAGTTTTTATAATAGAAAACCACTGAAATTTATTAATTTTTCAAATTACATTGATGATCTAGAGAACATATTTACACGATTCATAATAATTTAATAAATATAAAATTAAAAAACCCAGCACATTGGGGTCGCGGCACTATACATGTGGTTTAGGTGGATCAAATATAATGATATCTGATAGTGATTAAAATCACTATCATAAAAAACGTTTTGATGCAAATCTGTAGATAATGTTTAATTTAAAGAAATTAATGGATTATTCAAAAAGCTACATGATCTCCTATTTCCTTATTATATCCTGATTACAAGTGATATATATATTAATAGTATATAAATATAAATAGTACTTATCTTAAAAAAAATATAATGAATCATACATTTTTCAAAAAGTTATAACTTTATAAAGTTAAAATTTATAAATGAATTTTTTTACAAAAATCGTATTTTTTTATTAACTTTGATGTCTGTTTTCACCATGAAGACACAATAAAATCCGAAAATTTTTTTTTCAATAATAAAGTATATTACAAAAGCTTTAATTTAAGATATATATAAAAGTGTCAAAGTTTCAGGAACACTTTCAAAAATTAAGTTAAATAAGTTGTCATTTTGAATCTCCTTCTGTGGCAGGTAAAGTGTAAGATTTATAAAAAAAATATACCAAATGATAGGTAAAGACATCACCCATCTATAAATAAAAAAGTTATATTGATTTGGTAATTTTTGATAAAGTTATAGCAGTTTTAAGTAAAAAATATTGAAAATTTTTCTAAAATTAGCGATTAAATTTGTAATTTTTTTGAAGATTTCCTCTATTTACGGGGAGTGAGGGAAATTTTTTTAATTTTTGAGGGTAATGCCCTTAACTAGATACGATTTATGATCTTTTGACATATCGTTGAAAGAAATTGGTTCGATGAGAGCTGAGAAAAAGTGATAACAGACACAAAAAAAAAAAACACATCACAGTAAAATTAATACCTTCTCAGTTTCGAATCATAGTTAATATAAGTTATAAGCTACAGAAATATTCAGAAGGTTTATTATAACAAGTTTACCAGATGATTTTTTGGACTTTTGAAATTTTAGTAGAATACTCACATGAATTTATGATACATCAATAGATTTGGGGTTCAAAATAAATATACTTTTTTTCCATAAAGTCCTTACTATTAAAATAAATGTTTATACATGTTAACTTCAAACAGGAGTTAAATTACACAGAAACAGAAAAGTAAAAATAATTATGAGTTTAAATTTACAGTCATTATTCTAAATTGAATACATAAACTAAGACTAGTATGGATTAGAATTTTGTACCAGTTACCATGGTAAATGATCAACTTAGAATATTTAAAAATCAAATTTTCTATGGAATCTAAAAATACACACAATACTAAAATTAGATGCTAATTTCTGATTCATATCATGAGTATTACAGAATAATTGAAGTAGTGACACAATTATAGGATCCCCGGGGGTCCAGACCCTTCTATGAAGAGAAAACTTTAGTTGTGAAGGTATTGGAGGGGTGAACTTTACACTACTCTACATTTAAAAATTGATCTGGACTCCCCCATTCATAATTTCTAATTATGCTACTGAAATAAAGGGGTTATTGGATAAAGATTATATCTGACATTTTTAGTAACTTGATGGAAGTACACCTAACTTAAACTACATATATGATAGAGCACCCTTATATTGATATTTTTCTCTTATAAGTTATTTCATAAATGAAATATCAAAATACTTTTAAAGCTTTTTAATATTTAGCTAAAAATTAGCATTCTAGAACAATTTCAAAAATTTCAGTTAACATCTTTATCCACTGACCCCTATAATTATGATTTAGTTATCACTATTCTAATATTAATATTTTATTATTGAAGTTTCAATCTAAATGTAGATATTTATTTATTTTACTATGAAAAAAATAATTTGATGTGTGTAAAATTTTAATTTTAATAAATAAAAAAGATATATAGCAATAAAATTCTATACAATTTGATTTCAGACTAATAATATATAAAATTATACCAGTAAAAGTAAATAAAAAGAAAAACATTAGTATAAATACATATCATATTTTTCAAATATTCAAATGAAAATTTTAACAACATTAACTTCAGATACAACTACAAAATGGCTTGGACAAAAATGTTGAAATATAAATAAGATTTAATAAACCAACTTATTGTTAAATTTGTTAACTAATAAAACTTATTTAATACTTTTATTTTATTAATACATAATTTGAAAATTACATTAAACCTAATTTTTAAGATAGAAAAGTAAAATGAAAAAAAAAATTGTGTTATTGATATATAAGGTCTCTTGTTACAAGCAATTGGAACAATAGAAACCTGTTTCCTTATTTACTGAACACCTTATATATGTTTATTAATATTAATCTAACCTTAATATAAAAGTGTACTTCTAACTCTTTTTCTTACTTATGGATGTATAAATCTTATTTATTTTACATGATTTAAATAGATATAATCTTTAAAAAGTGCATTATTGCTTAATTAAATCCAAACATTACTATGTAACAAGATAGCAAAACATAATGGATTAAAATCTAAGGCCTATTTTCAAAGTTATATTAAATATATTTAATCAAACCCAATATCTTCATTTAAATATTAAATGAAGAAAAAAAATAACTTATACTTCAAACTTTAATAAATATGTAAGATTTTCCCTAACATATTAGCATAATTAGAAATTATGAATGGGGGNTTAACATATTGTTTCACGTTAGTTTGTTTTCTTAAAAAAAAAATTTTAGTTCCTTAGATCAATTTAAAAATAAATTCATTCAATTCAAACTATATCCAAATAAATATATAATATAACAGCTAGATCGAGGTTGTACATAAACCAATATAATTTTCCAATATTTAAAAAAAAGTAAATTTGTTAAGATGTCTAGGATCACATTACATTATATTTACAAGATATACACTAACTAAATTTATTAGATTAAATGTGAAGCCATTAATCTACATTATGTATTTATTTAAACTGATTGCATATATGTGAAAAAAACAGAATCAACAAATATTGATGGTTTTGAAACAAAAGAAGTTATAACTTCCAATAATAAAAAACATAAATAATATGGTCACATAGAAGTTAAAAATAAATGCCTATGATGTAATAAGTGCAATAGAATAGTCTTTTTTTATTTGGAGCTCGATCATCAAGGTTGTGGCGTCCTCGAGGTTTATTGAAAGTAACACACTTTTAATAACCCTGAAAAAATAGTTCACTGAATTCTGAAATAGTTGAGGCCAAGGTTTTGTTCAAGTATAAGCCTTAACAATACTAAAATAAAAAGTTATCTGCGAATACAATCAAAAGCAGCCCTAAATGCAATTCGATCCCCTAAAAGTGTTTGAAAAATATTCAAATATTTCTACATAATCATGTTGGGTGGCAACATCAGTCTACATACCCGGTCTTTGATAATGCAATACACGAGCTATATACACAGTTATATTACTACACACGCGCAGGTTTCATCATCGCGTCTCGTTTCGAAACGATAATGAAATTCAATAGTCCAATAACAGCTACGGCTATTGCAACTTTAACACGATTGTTTCGTAAAAGGGATTACGGAGATTTCTAACAATTAGAAAAATAAAGACATTTAAATCCTTACACATACTCAAAAATAACCAAACACCAACCTTGATAGGTAGATAATCTCGAATTTTCTGAACTAAATTATGTTTTCTTCCCAGTTCGCCAAATATATGTATCACTCGCCTGTCGATTTTTGAACATAAACGACAAATGAAACCGCATCGAACCGCGTTGTTCACACTTCCCATTTAGAAGAGGTCGTCGGTGTCAAAAGAACGGACGAACACGGAACTAGACGAGGCGGCGACTAGATAGTTCACACAGTAATCCAGTGAACAACGAATGCCGAAAAATAACGACAAGTGATGTACCGGACGGTTCGGAATGAAAGACCGAACTCAAATCACAAAATTTAACATCTACGCAGTAATGTTCCGGCGGCTAATGGCAACGAACTGACTTCGTCATTCAAAAAAAAGGGAAGGCAATTAGGCGCGATAGATGCTGATTCGCTATGTATAATGTGTGTATAAATTGTCTATACGCGTAATACGGGCACAGACAGTGCAATCACACAGCTGATACTGCATCTGACGTCTATTATAGCTGTTGATCACTAAGTCGTTTAGATATTATTATTACCAACTTAGCCGGTTAGCCTTGGAGTTGCCGGTGTATTCTTGTTGAAACAGTTTCACGCACTGTAAAATCCAACCTAACCAAAAATTTAATAGAATATTACCTATCAGATAACATCAGCTGCAAGTACTTGCCTACCTTTAAAGCAAAATCGCGGTCTTATACCATCATTTCATATGTTGATTGACTTATCTTTTTTATTATAGTCTAGTTTATTCTACTCGATTGAATTTTCTCTCCGAGCTATTTAAATCAAAGTAATAAAATTATAATTGTTTTCATAGTTGTAAAAAAATGTCATTTCAATTATGTGTTCTTATTACTTCTTAGATGTCACATTGTAAGTAACATTGACTAAAAAAGAATTTATTCAAAGGGCATTTATAATTTAATTTTTGTAGAAATGTTTTTGATGGAAGTGAGAAACCTATAGTTGTTACTGATGAAAAATTTAATTTTTACATTAAGGAAGCTCTAAAAGAAGTTTTCGGCCAGGTATTTTTAATATTTACAAACAATATTTTCCTTTTTTTGTTATTGTTTATTATTATTATTGTATAAAGTTCATAAGCACCACACCCTCTATAAACAAAAAAAAGTGCTGTATATTTCATCACTATTTCTTCATTTGTCAGTTAATTACTATAGTTAATAATATTTTTTATGAGAGAATAACCAACTTAGTAATTTTATTTCTGATAAAATTTATTTGAATCAATAAAATTAACAGGTATTTTATTATTTTGAGTATGATAATAGAACTTTATAAATGCACGTTTTCATTTTAATAATTACAGATTATTTTTAATTAATTTTAATAAATTTATTCTATAAATGTTCATCATTGTAGTATTTTTTGACTAATATTAAAAACTCATATTGATAAAATTTGTTTTAAATAATTCAATTTAATATTAATTAAATTTACTATTGCAGTTTGGACTGGGCATCAATTTCAATGTGTTGAAGTTCAATTCTGGTAGAGGTATTATTCGTTGTCCTTCTGAATATTACGTGAAATTTCGTGGTGCTCTTACTTTATTTGGGCAATTTAGTAAATACACTATACATTTCAACATACATCGTTCATCTGCTTGTTTAATATCTTTCATCAGTGACGATACTACCTATCAACATGTCTCAAGTATATAAAGAAGGCAAAGATACAATAATTTTTGCTACTAAAGAAGACCATCAATCTCCTAGTAAAATTGAACTATCACCCCCAGAACCATCACCAGGTTTGATATTTCCTGATGGTTCTATAAATTGGAATTGCCCCTGTTTAGGAGGGATGGCAACAGGTCCTTGTGGAGTTGAGTTTCGAGAATCATTCACTTGTTTTCATTATAGCAAAGAAGAACCAAAAGGTTTAGAATGTAGAGAAAAGTTTACTGCCATGTGGGCTTGTATGGATAAATATCCAGAGGTGTATAATGAAGGAATGAAAGATAATGAAGAAATATTAAGTACTGAAGAGAACAAAGATGATAATTCAGTTAGCAATGTACAGATAGAAAATAAAAATCAAGACAAAAAATTATGATTTTGTTAATGAATTGTTTGTTTTAGAATATTTTGTTTAAATAGATATTTTAGTGATATAAATTTATTTTCATTTATTATATAAGCATATAAACTGTGCAGCCCTACTTGTTACAAAAAAAAATAATGATAAAAGATGAGCAAAAAAAAAAAAAAGATCAAAAGTCAATTTTATAAATTAGATTATGTTATTCATTGCTCTAAAGATAGTAGCCCATAGGTCAATTACTTCTATAGCCAATTTCATTTTCATTCTAAGTCATTTTCAAAAATTTAAATATATTATTTTAGATTTGAAAATGTTCTTCCATATTTCTCTTTTATACAAATTGAACTAATCTTATGAATAATTTAAATAAAAAAGTAGTACTATAATTGGTTAAAATTAAACCTCTTTAAATTAGACAATAATAACTTAAAAAATTTTACTTTGTATGTACTTAAATAATATATCTCTCTATTTGTATTTATAATTGTTTAATAAAGAAAAAATTAAAATCTAATCTTACACAATCATAAATATATCAAAATGTTGGGAACATTTATTAATCAAAATATTGTATAGTATATAAATTACAGATATTGAATCTTATTCAGATTATTAGCAATCATGCAAATGAATTAATAATCTAAGGGTTCTTATATGACTAGTACATAATTTACCATTTACCTAATAAAACAATTAAGTTTAATTCAATGATTATAATATACCATATTAATTATTATAATTATTTTTTTAATAAGAAAAGTTTACAGTGGTTATCTTTTTGCGCCTGAAAATAAAATATTTCTATCCTCCATACTACTATTTTAGGTAGAAAACGTTTTAAAATAATTATTTCCCTAAAAATAAAACCATTCCCAACCCACTTTGTCTATCCATTATTACAACACCGGAATTTACAATAAATATAAATTTAGTTTTAACTGAAACAACTTAACTTTGACCAACAAATATTTTTTAGTAATAGTGGATGTTGGTGAAATTTTGAACGCACTGTTAAGTGTAAACATTTAATGATTTTTATCAAGCTTCACTTACAAACTCTTGATAATAATTTGTTGTTAAAACATTATTAAATAAAAATATTTAATTATCTTATATATTAATGTTATTTTCATACATTATTTTTTTAGAATTAATATTTTATTATCGTTCAATATTTTGTTAATAGCAATAAATAAATAATTTATAATATTATGTAGTATATATACTGTCATATTTTTTTTATGATACATAATTTGATAAAGTTATATTTCATTATAAAAAATTAATTATTTTATTTAAAACTAATAAGATGGACGATGATTATGACGAATATCGTCGTTGGGATGGAGATGTCGATGTTGAAGTAAGATTAGTAATATTTTATAAATTATAATACTATTTTTTCTTAGCCAAATATAACACATACATAATTTAAACTGTTATAAATAATCACTGGAATGAATAAAAAAAGATATTATACTTTTAATTTAAAATACTCGTGGGATAAGACACAAAGAAATAATACTATATATATCATTTATTATGTGTGGTATACTATATGTTAGCACTAGCTTATAGAATTAAATAGTAAATTAATATACTATTGTTGTATCTAAATATACATAACAACCTTTTTGTTCTAACTTATAGTAATAATAGTTCAATAATAACACAAATGTAATTATTAAAGATATAATCAAACAAAATAATGATAAACTTAAAACAGAATAAATAAATAATACACAAAATTAAAACTTAATGTCACAAACGTACCACGCGAAAAGAGATTACCTTTGGTACTCCCGAGATCTTCTCTTCTTTTCAATTCATTCAATTTCGTCTTATATACTAAAATATTTTCTTTTTCTTTTTTTTACAAAATTCATAATACAACTGTTTTCAAAAGCATTTATAAATATTTATTTCCTGGTCTAGTAACAATAATTCAGGGAATTACAATTAATCCAAACATTACAAAAATATTTTACTTCTAGATTTTCAAATAATAGACTATATTTTATTTAGAACAATTGATCAAGAAATTACAATTAAACCAAACGTTACAAAAATGTTTTACTTTCAGTTTTACAAAATAATGACCTATATTACAATATATAAAATTTTTTAAAAAATTTTCATCAGCAATTATAATGCTTAATGATATACTTATGCTTCACAAACTAATATTGATTTCAATCAAATTATATAATGTATTTATTTTCTCAAAATTATAACTTTTAAATGAATTTACATTGCTAAATTAATGTTTTCTTTTTTATTTTGATCAATGATATTTTAAAAAAAGGTTACATTTTTATTATGCTCAAAGTTTCTAAATATTTTGTATAATATAAATTATAACTTTACTCATGACTTTCAGGTGGATGATAATGATGATATTTTGGAAAATCCACAAGAAACATTAACACAATGCTTAGAAAAGTTTAGTAGCTCTGACTATATCATGGAACCTGGAATTTTTTCTCAACTTAAAAAGTAAAATATAATTATATAATAATATATAAATTTAACATATCTTTGACAATTGATTTATTAATGAGTTTTAATTATGTAGATATTTTCAAGTAGGCGGCACACCTGAAAATGTTATTGAACTTCTATCAAAAAATTATATTGGTGTTGCACAAATGGCTAACATGGTTGCTGAATGGCTTTTACTTGGAGGTAATTTTTAAATATATTTCCTAAATGAGACCTGCCAAGGAATAACAAGCTGTATTATAACTTGTAAATTTTACAGTATTGAAGAAAACATTATAAGTGTTGGGATTTTTCTATAAATAATTACTGGGTTCATATTAACACAATTATTATGAGCCATAGGAATATTTATGACTTCTAATTTCAAAATTATATAGAATTTTCAGTATAATAATATTACAAAAAAAAAATTTATTTTGTTAATTTATTTTTAGTAAAGCTAAAAATATACTAATTATAAAATATAGTACATTTTATGATACCTTTTTATATTCAAAAATACTTTTATGTTCTAAATGTATTTTTTCATAAAAATTTACAGTTGAGAACTTAAAATATTTTAATTACGAGTATTTATCAAACATTATTTTACTTTTATGATGAATAAAATCAAAATTTTATTTTGAATTTTAACTGTTTAAAAATTATTTATTACTTAAAAAAAATGTCCTTCATTGGGAGTCAAAATTCCTTGTCTTCGCATAAAAAAGTAGTTTTAATAGTAGATATAATATGTAAATAATCTAAATTGTCAAATTTGAATCATTAAAACATTTTACATTTACTTAATTTTTTAAGGCGTTGCAGTTGGTGAAGTTCAGTCCTTTGTAGAAAATCATCTCAAAGATATGGTTTTAAAAACCTTTGATCCAAAAAAGGCAGATACTATCTTTAGTGAAGAAGGAGAAGTATATATTTTTAATTATTTTAATTGCCATTTATCATAAAATGTATTTTATCTTTAATTCAGACACCGGCTTGGTTAACTGAAATGATAGAACACAGAATATGGAGGTCATTAATATATAGATTAGCTGAAGAATACCCTGATTGTCTCATGTTAAACTTTACCATTAAAGTATTTAATTTTTTATTTATCTTACACGAGTTTTTAATTATAAGATACCAAATTAAACAAACTTACTAATTAAATTTATATAATATTATAAATTTAAATAAAATTATTTTAATAATATATAATTTTTTATTATATTTAGCTTATATCTGATGCTGGTTATCAAGGTGAAATAACTAGTATTTCTACTGCATCTCAACAAATTGAAGTATATTCTCGTATTTTAAAAAATTTTATTACAGAATCTATAAAAACATCTTCTGAGAATAGGCAAACTACAATTCAAGAATGTGCTGTAATCTTATATTTAAATCATTAATAACATCCGAAATATTGTTTAATTACATTATAAAATGATATTAATTTTTAGAAAATGGTGTGTCATAGTCAGCATACTTATGTTTTCACATTAGTTGCTCTCCAAGTCTTAGCCAAAGAATCAAATGGGGGTGTTAATATGAAAAGATTTGCTCAAGAAATTACTCATTGTGCTCAAGAAAGGTACTGATTAAAGTATTTACAACAATAACTGAATTTAAAATTAATTTGTTTGATTTTTAATTGTGTATTTTGAAGAAATGATGTGACACCCATAACAATGGCTCTAAACGGTGCTGCTTTGTATGATCAACCTTGTGCTGCATTAAGTTCTATGTTATCGAGAAATGCTTTAAATCCTGCTGATATTAGTGTCCTTCATAAACATTACTCTTCGCCTGATTCTCCCCCTGTCAGTTTACTTAGATTACCACAATTTTTAGGTAGCTAATTAATGGATTAATTTTTAGTTTAACCTAATACTATATTCATTTAAATTTTTTTAGAACTCTTGGTTCAAGCTTTATTTAAACCTGGTATGAAACTTAACCCTGAGTATAAACCAAAATACATATATCTTTATGCTTATTCAGCTAGTGTATATGAAGTAACTTCTGGTAAAAAAAGAAAAATAGTTAATAAAGATGATTTAAAGTCCACAATTCAAGCTGTTGACAAAGTTCATAATATCTGTTATATGAATAAGGGATCTACTGAATTGATTGCAGAAGTAGCTACTATCTATCAATGTATCAGGTAGATTATTAGAAGTATATATGAATATTTAAATAAAGAAAAAAGCAAAGCCAAATTTGAAATTTCATTTTATTTTTTCTTTAATGAAAAAATTTAGTAATTTATTGCTTAAAAATTAAAAATTTTCAATCTACTAAAAAATTTCAAAATATTAAATTTTTATTAAGTTAATTATAATTATTAATTTTGTACCTGGACAAATGTTATAATTTTTAACTTAATATTATTAAAAAACTATCAAATCTGATTTTGAATTGGTGTTATCTATTATTAGAGCTTTTTAATTATGATAATAGTAAAATTAAATTTCTATCATTAGGTACCCGGCAGTTGCTGTTGGTTTAATTTGCTGGGTTGAATATACTGTAATGGAACCAAGTTTTTTTAAATTGTGTACAGAACATACTCCTACTCATCTTGCTCTTCTAGATGAAGTTGTTACTTGTCACCCTCAATTACATAATATAATTCTGAAACTGCTTGTATCTCTATTTGAATCGAAGCAAGATGAATTAGAAATATTAGTACAAGTAAGTTAGATAAATCTGTTTATGTTATAAATTTTAATTAATACTATCTTATATTACTTAGTTAGAAATGAAAAAAATGTTACTTGATCGTATGGTAAATTTATTATGTTGTGGATGTGTTGTGCCTGTTATTAAGTATATTGAACAATGCTGGCATCGTGGTGATACAGACATATCATTAATAAGATATTTTGTTACAGAGGTAAACATTTTAATTAGAGTCATTAATTTCATTTTAAAAATATTATTTTCTGAAGGCTTTGGAAGCAGTTTCACCTCCTTATTCTGTTGAGTTTGTTGATTTATTTTTACCTATAGTTGAAAATGAAGAAATTACGGGTACTATGAGATGTGATGGTGATAATGATCCAGTTTCAGAGTTTATTGGTAAATTTTTAACATTAATCTGTTTGGCTCTTAAATAATAATGCATGTATTTTAAACATTTTCAGTACATTGCAAAGGAATGACAATTTAAGGAAATTCATTATTTATTTTATTTTATTTGTATTAAAAATAAATCAATTTTTATGTGTACAATATAATTTGAGTGTTTAATTTTTTTTTTTGATAAACTTTATGGTAAATTAATACAAAAGTTTTAATACTTTTTGAATATGATCAATATTGTAATAATGAAGTGTAACTTTAAAGCTTAAAACTGTTATGAAAATATATTAAAGAAATGATTGACAAAGATTTTTTTTGTTGAAAGAATTTCATATCTTCAGTGTCATTCACTTATCATAAAACACTTAATTAATCAAAATATAAAAATAATATTAACAATTTCTATATTGTTTTTTTTATTGTATCAATAAAAAAAAAATTGATTTTCGTCCCTTATACTTTATAAGGGTGGCAACTATAATTTTCAAGTGGTAAATACATAATTAATAAGCTTTTTCATTAGTTAATGATTTAACTAAGAAAAATGACTGGTCAATTGGACTGGAGGTAAAGAGTCTGTGTTGCTATTTTTATAACTAGACATTTCCCAGCACCTATATTTAAATATGTCAATAACTACTGAAACACTAGTCCAAAAATTATTATAAATAATTATTATAGTCATTTGCTAAATTAGATCAATATCTACTAAATAAGGTAGTTAATTATATGTACTGTTGTTCGAGACATTAAAGTCGACACCATTATAAGGTGTAAGGGATGAATATAATTTTTTTTTTATGATTGATTTATTGAGAAAAACAGAACTAAAAGAAACTAATAAGAATTTATTAATATTATTTTTATTTTTCGATTAATTAAGTGGTTTATTGTAAATTAATAATACTGTATATAGCAAATACACATAAAATATTTATTAGATGTTTAATAAGTATCAGTTTTAAACTTTCAAATTAAGGTGATTTTTGAAAATCTTGTTTTTAACAGGTGGAGTCAATCAGATAAATTTAACTTTAGAAGAATAGGTCATGGTCATTTTATGAATTTGTATTATTTAAATAGACAACAGATTTTAATACCTCAATTCAAGCATTATATTTTAGTTTTATTAAAGAAAATAAAGTTGTCCTAGTATGAAAATTTTTATCACAAAATAATCAGAATCAGTAAAATGTTCATAATTTAAAAAAAAAATGATTATCTTGATAGATATAAGTACAAATATTACATTAATAAATAAGTTGTATAAAAAAAATCTTTTATTTATTATAAATTGGTTAATTTATTCAAAATTTGTAATACTCATACTCAATCTAATTATTTTCAACATAAACATTACAATTAATCTTAAATCAAAATTCATTAATTAAGAAATTATACCACAGGAATAAATAAAATTCTAACATTAGACACAGTTTATTCAAGTATGAAGTTGATATTTAACTTAATGAATATATAAATTTTTATATTAATAGAGTATTACAGTACTTTTCAAACGGGAACTATTAAGTCTTTATTTATATTATTAACAGATAAGAATAGATTGGTAATTTATTAGATTAAATAAGTCATGAACTATAATCAGAAATTTAAATTTATATGAATAATAATAAATATATACTATTTAATATGTAAAACTTTAAAAGTATACAGAGCTTTAAAATTATAAATTATACTTAAAATTTTATCTTTTTTACAATATACTCAATCATTTATAATACTTACAAATTATATCAAAATCATATTAATACTAATCTGAATGTTTAACTCTAGACAAAGCAATATATGAATATTTAGTTTTATCATCATACCACCCAATTGGTCCAATTTCACAATCAGCACATATTAAATATTTAAATCCTGATTCAACAAGTTTTGAAAAACCAATATTTTCAAACATGTACATATCTGGTACTAACCAATAATCAGACAACAATTCACATTCAACAGATTCACTATCTTTCTTTTGAGACATGTGTGGAAGGTTGAACTAAAAAAAAATCAGAATAAGTAATTCATTATTTTAAAAATATAATAAACGTTACTTCAATTTTAGTATGTTTTCCAGTAGTAGAGGAAAGAATTTTAGAAGGGCATTTGGTACAAAATACTGTGAGTTTGTTTTTTTCATCAGATATCAAATGATCATAATCATCGTTAACTTGGAATTCAGTCATTGTGCTAGATTAAATATCAGCACTTCAAACGTTGTATAACTGTAATATATCTTCTCCCTTATATTGTTAACATACAGTAAACATTATTTTTAAAATTGAGAAAAAATTAATAATAGAATTTTTAATGTAATTACATAGGAACGATAAATATATATAGAATGAATATTCTATTACCCTGATATCATCATCAATTTCTATAATAATATTACCCATGTCTTACATCATATATAACTGTATTATTATATTGATAAAAGGTATAACAAAAAACTAAGTTTCATGTTGGTAACGGTAATGTTATCAAACATGGCAAATGATAATTAATTAACGTTAAAGGCTCAATATAGAGACTATATATCATACATTAATAGTTTTATTTCTGTATTCTTCCCATATTGCAAAGCTGTATCTACTTAATAATTATCCCGAGTGTGAATTCTTGAACACCGAGGCCGACAGGCCGTACATTAGTAGCATTAGTAGCATTATCATCATTAGTCGGTCATCAGTTGTTGCTTGTTAAATTTCTATTTTCAACATGTACTTTATGATATTTTATATAAAAGTTGTTCAAGGGTCAAGGACATGAATTTGTGAGGTAAATTTAAGTTAAAATAGTGTACATTTAATAAATTAATCAGTTATAAAATGGGAAACCGATCATCTTTATTGCTACGCAAAGATGAAATTGCTCAAATTAGAAATGAAACTGGATGTAAGTATTCCATAATAAAAAATGTTAGTTATTTCTTTAAAACGTGATATTATCTTAAAATCAAAATTAATAAAAAATTTATTATACCATTTACTTTTAAATATTAATGGAATGACTGTTTTTTTATTTTAAATAGATTTAAAGTTTAAATGATAATTTTAGTTTTTTTATCAACTTAATTTAATTTTCATTTACTATTACAAAAAAATTATGTTGGAAAACAATATAACATTGTGTTTAAAAATTTAACAATTCAAATTATTTTAATTTCTTTTAATTTTAACTTCAATTTACAAAATACCTTCTCATTTTAAATTTTATATTCAATAATTTATATAATATACAATTATTTTCCTGTATAAAAATCAAATAAGAAATATCAAAAATGACTAATAATTTTAATACTCTTTTAGTTATATTTATCACTTATGGTTTATCAACATTAAACTTAATTATATAATAATAGAATAGGTTATAATGTATACTCTTAAATAAAGTGATGATTTTTTTTTTTTTGAAACTTTAGACTTGTAGCTCATTTAACTATTTCTAAAATTCTATTATAAACAATATAATTTTATTAAGTCCTCACCAAATTCATACAATGTTTTAATATTTTACTTTGAAAAATATAAATTATTGAACACTATGAATATAATTTATATTTGAATTTAAAAATCAAAAGTTTTTATTTTTTTTATTGCTTAAGTATTAGATATATAATTTCAAATATGTTCAAGGCTATGCATAAATTTATAAAATATATATTACTATTAATAATACAAGGACAAAAATATTCAAAATTATTTTTTAAAAACCGTTCAATTTTGAAATTAAAAAAATTTTGATTTAACATTTTTATAATCAGCTTGTCAGATAAATTTTTGAATAAATATTGAATATACGACTTAAATATTATTTCAAAATTTTGGTTTAATATATATTTTTTTTAATGATGAATTTTTGTATAATTTATATAATAAAAATTGATCACTTGTGGCTAATTAATTAAATAAAATCAAAAATATATTAAAAATATTATTAATTTAAAAACTAAAAAATATTAAACTCAAAATCCACAAAAAATTACTGAAAAGTCGTAGATAAGTATTTCGGAAACAATGTTACCATTATCAACGCTAAACACATACAGACCCCCCGACTAGAAAAATCTCCCTTATGTATCCATGAATTTTCAGTAATTTTTTGTGGCTTTTGAGTTTAATATTTTTAGTATTTTTTAATTTTTAAATTAATAATATTTTTAATATAGTTTTAATTTTATTTAAAATTTTAATTTATTTTATGCATTGTATTCTAATTATTGATTATTTTTAGTTACTGCAAATCAAATAGAACGTTTATACAGCAGATTTACAAGTTTAGATAGAGGAGATTTAGGTACACTAAGTAGGGAAGATTTATTACGTATACCCGAATTAGCTATAAATCCTCTAGGGGAAAGAATAGTCGATCTTTTCCATACAGATTCTGGAAACAATAAAGGTCGTATTAATTTTCTACAGTTTATGCGAGTTTTATCTAAATTTAGACTTATTAAACCACATAAAGAAAATAAACAGAATAATCATATGGAAAAAATAAAATGTAAATAATATAAAACAAAACCCAAAATATTTGTTTGCTAACTTATGATGTTGTTTTAGTTGCATTTGATATGTATGATGTAGACAATGATGGTATGATATCTAAAGATGAATTATTAATTATATTACATATGATGGTTGGAGCCAATATCAGGTATGTTTAAATAAAATAGCCAAGATTTTTATATTTTTAAATTTAACTAAATTATTTTTTATTTTTTAAAAAGTGAAGAACAATTATCTATAATAGCGGATAAAACAATATCTGAAGCTGATATTGATGGAGATGGATTAATTTCATTTGAAGAATTCAGTAAAACCTTTGAGAAATCTGATATTGAAAATAAAATGTCTATCAGATTCCTAAACTAGTCAAGACTGACCAATTCAAACCATTCCTGTGTCATATACTTTTTTTATACTTAGAAATAATGCTTTAAGAGTGAATCTATATATTATTTCATATCAAGACCAAATATTTAATATGTACTTTTTTATCATTATTTTAATTATAATGAAATTTATTGTATGGGATTTAAAGTAAAATAATATTTTTTTAAACATTGTATAAAGTTTATAATTTCAAATTATACTTGGTTTAGACTTTATTATTTTTTATAAATAGATATTTTTAAATACAAACAAAACATTTTGTACTAATATTTAAAAAAATTAATCAATTTATTTACAAGTGAAATATATATATTAAGTAATCTGATTTTAAAGTTAAAATCTGATATTTCATGTATTTCTAAAGTATGATATATATGTATTAAGTAAATTTTTGACCAATTAGTAAAACTAAAGTCAAAATTAAAAGTGTGTTACAATTATATTTTTGCACATTTTGAAATAATTAAAACATTTAATTTTGAATATAACTTATTTTAGTAAACTTCAAACTAATTTATGTAATTTCAAATGGTAATAATTTGAGGGGTTCTGTCTCTTTTAAAATAATAATAACTCATTAATTTAAATAATTATAGGATATTATAAAAGAAAAATGATTTTGCACCTTTTTTTTTTTTTTTTTTTACCCACAATCCGGCATACTGAGGACCGCCCTGGAACTACCACGAGGTATTGCTTCAGGGCGGCTAACGCCGTCTAAAATTCACACCACTACGTTGTGAATCAGCCCAAAATTAATCAAGAGCTGATTCACAACATTGCACCTTTTACCCCACCCAAACCCAACTTTAAAAAAAATGTATTACTATTACTATTAATATACCTTTAAATGTGAAATAAAACTATATTATTAATTTTTATCTGTTACTGTAGTAACTAACAGAATTTTAATAATAATGACTGAATGTAAAATAGTAAAAATGTAAGCTAAAAAAAATAGTGGAGACATTGCATAGTAGGGTCCAGTATAGATTTAATCTGACAGTGATTAAAATCACTATCATAAGAAACGCTTCGATGCAAATCTGTAGATAGTGTTTAATTTTAAAAAATTGATGGATAATTGCAAAAGCAACATCAACTTCTATTAAAATAAAATACAAAACCCATAATTATCATACAAAAATAGTATATTTTTCAATATGGTAGCCATTTGCGTATAGAAGATAGATCGTCGGGACAAATTTTTTTTTTTCATTTTGTAGTACATAAAATAAGCTTTAATTTTATATATGTTTAAAGGACGCAGTATTTCCGGAACATTTTCAAAAATTAAGTTGAAAAAGTTATTTTTTGTAAAAAAGTTACTATTTTAAATCCTCCCAGTGAGCAGAATAAGTGTTAGATTTTCAAAAAAAATTATATCAAATGAAAGGGAAATATCTAAGGTTTCAATACAAAAAAATATTATTTTTATTTGTTCATTTTTGAAAAAGTTATGGCAGTTTTAAGTACAAAAAACATCCCGATAAAATGTAATTTTTATCGCAAACATTACATTTTTTTTTAAATTTTCGACAGCCATTTGCACATAGAAGATAAGATGTCGGGACAAATTTTTTTTTTTCATTTGATAGTATATAACATAACCTTTGATTTGATATATGTTTAAAGGACGCAGTATTTCCGGAACATTTTCAAAAGTTCAGTTGAAAAAGATCTATGTTTTTTACAATATTTTAAGTTTTGAACGCCCCCTATATAAGGGGAAATTGTCCAATTTTAATAAAAAGTATGTCAAATGAAAGATGTACTTATAATGTATTTAGAAAAAAAAAATTTGTGCTGATATATACATTTTTCAAAAAGTTATAGCATTTTTAAGTTGAAAATTTAAAATCGAAAATCGAAAATTTTAACACAAAAATAGTGTTTTTTTAACTACGGCAGCCGTTTAAATGTAGAAAAAAAAGTGTCGGGACAAATTTTTTTTTTTCATTTTGTAGTACATAAAATAAGCTTTAATTTGATATATGTTTAAAGGACGCAGTCTTTCCGGAACATTTTCAAAAATTAAGTTGAAAAAATTAATTTTTGTAAAAAAGTTGCCATTTTAAATCCCCCCCAATGAGCAGGTTAAGTGATAGATTTTCAAAAAAATGATATCAAATGAAAGGTAAATATCTAAGGTTTTAGTATAAAAAAAAATTATGTTGATTTGTTGATTTTTCAAAAAGTTATGGAAGTTTTAAGAAAAAAAAGTGAAAAAATTTCGAAAATTAGCGATTTTTAAATTTGTAATTTTTTTTGATATTTCCCCCATTTGCGGGGAACGAGGGAATTTTTTTCAATTTTTAAGGGTAATGTCTTCAACTAGATACGATTTGTGATCTTTTGACGTATTTTTGAAAGAAATCGGTCCAGTGAGAGCTGAGAAAAAGTGGCAACAGACATAAAAAAAACAAAAAAGTGGAATGTATAGAATCTAATGTGTTAAAAAAACTCATTTTTTTTTTTCTTTATTAATATATACACAATCTGTTCCCTATAGGTACAATAAGAGTATTAGCTAAAATAATTATAACATTGAATACTTGATAAAAGGAGGCACCCATTGATGACACTTTTAAGTGATTGTTTTTTATTTTTTAACTAAAGTTATGTTAATAGATCTCTACACCAGTTGAGCTTTTAGCGTCTCGGAGGATTACCACGAATAGCATTAGTTGAAAGACCTTTTATTAGGGGATTGGAGTGGGAGGCTAGTCGAGTGTGGAATCTTTTATAATAAGTTATTGCTTCTTCTTAAACAGTTTTAATTTTTAAATCAGAATGGAGGGTATAATTTGATACGTACGGAGGGGAGTTAGTTAATTTTCTTAAAGAAATATTTTGAAATGCATGAATACGATTTGTATTAGATTTTTTAGTATTTCCCCATAGTTGTAGACCATAGGTCCAAATGGGTTTAATAAGGGATTTATACACTAGAAGTTTCATNGCACCCATTGATGACACTTTTAAGTGATTGTTTTTTATTTTTTAACTAAAGTTATGTTAATAGATCTCTACACCAGTTGCGCTTTTAGCGTCTCGGAGGATTACCACGAATAGCATTAGTTGAAAGACCTTTTATTAGGGGATTGGAGTGGGAGGCTAGTCGAGTGTGGAATCTTTTATAATAAGTTATTGCTTCTTCTTAAACAGTTTTAATTTTTAAATCAGAATGGAGGGTATAATTTGATACGTACGGAGGGGAGTTAGTTAATTTTCTTAAAGAAATATTTTGAAATGCATGAATACGATTTGTATTAGATTTTTTAGTATTTCCCCATAGTTGTAGACCATAGGTCCAAATGGGTTTAATAAGGGATTTATACACTAGAAGTTTCATATTTAAGTTAGTATGTTTGTTATTAATTAGTAAAGTTCTAAGCATACGGATTCTAAGGTTTAATTGGAGTCTTTTTGTACGAGTATGATGGACCCAGATAAGTCGGCGGTCTAGGGTTAAACCAAGATATTTTACAAACGAAAAAGATGGAATTTGAATACCATAAAGAGTAACACAAAAAACTCATTTAAGAAAATTTTTAAATGTACAAGAATTCCTAATTTCATCATATTTTTAGAACCTTTTTTGTCGGGCAATCTAGTACTCTTAGTAATGCCACGATTCGTTTCTATTCAAATGATTAAAACTGTCGTAAACATGGCAACTTCACAAGGAAATAGATCAGTAGAACCTTCCGTTATATGAATCTCCATTATTAGTAGCGTAACTAGGATGGTTAGATCAAAAATTATATTCTAGTTATGCCTACTACAAAAATGTTTGGAATAGACAAACTTCCAATGATAAAAGGGAAATTTGATCGACTACTCTGACAAATAAAATGTGATAATACATCTGATTCACTAGATTTTGGATGAATACGACTTATTTGACCCGTAATAACAGATGAAAAAATTCATATTTAGTCTCGTCATTGAAATGTTAAACAACTGATGAATCAGCAATAACAAATGTTTAACTGTTAAAGACACTATTTAAACATATACCTCCTAGGAAATATGTGGTTTGCGGTTCAAGATAAAAACAATTGATGATATTTGCAAATTTAAAACTAATGGCCATTTTGTTTGACTTAAATCTTTAATTGCTCCACTCTCCAAAAAAAAATATTTTCTTTATATAATGCTATACTACTTGATAATAAAAAATGTCAACTTTAATTTATAAAAAATAACAATTTTAGTTTTATTTTGTAATTAAATTATACGTGGGTAGAAAAAATAATAACACTCGTGTGACTAATTTGCGCTATTACTCTAATACATTAGGTAAATTTTAAGTAAAAAAATTGAATTTACCTTGAATATATTATAATTTATAAAGTTTATCGATAATTTTTTAATGTTCACAATCTTGACATTTTTTATACAAAGTAAACTTAGTGTTTTTATTTTGTTTGATCATTGAACTTAGTATAACTATACAAATATTATTAACATGAATTCGCACTTAATATTAAAATGTACTTATTTGTTTAAGAAACATAAAGATTTTTGTAAAATGTTTTATAAACAGATAAGTTTAAACAACTTGTTATAAATTAAAACTCCATATGTATTCTGGGGATGTAATTTTTTTCTTTTAAAATGCGTAGGTACTAAGATTTATTACGTTATGCTGAGCTATGTAGATTTTCCCGTCCTCTCTAATAAAAGCAATAGAAAAATTTAGAGGTGTTAAACACGATTAAACTTAATCAACATATTATTTTAATTAAAATCAATGGGAACATAAGGATTCATCCTATCGCTCACCTTCCTCCATAAAAAAGTCAATTGACTAACAGCTTCTTTGACTTATTTGACATTCAGCTAAACTTTGGGGGTCCTAAATTACTGATTCTAAGGTGACATGTGTGAAGCAGTCTCCCATATCCTAGAATCCTATATTACATAGTAGACTTAAAATTCATAATAAAATGGCAACAATAATTTTTAATAACAATATTAAAAACATTTTAATAATATTTATAGTACCACATTTAAATTTTATAATAAATCAAAGTTAAATTAAATAAACGTATTCGCATTGGAAAAATAACATTTTTCAAAATTTGATGTAGCTTAAAATAACTAAAAGTGTTAATTTAAGACTCGGAGGTACTTATCATTCTCTGACCATCACTAGGAGTGTCAAATTTGAATAACCAACACTGAAAATATATGAGCAAACAGTTTGTTTTTATCTTTAGATTGACGTGAGCATATATAATTTGAATTATTCAAAATCTATCGTTTATGTTTTTGGATTGGATCCACAAATTCTTGAGACTATTCCTAGAAAGGTTGACCTTCCCAAGAATAGTACCAATATATCATTATTATCAGTGTTGGTAATACATAATCAACAAATCATCTTGGTTAGACGTAGATATTCATATAAAATGTCGCCTAGATGGGATAAAGATTTTTAAGAATACAATTATACAAGAGAAATTTAAAATAAAGTCTTTTATGTAGGTAAATTCATTTTTTTCATTTATTCATAATTTTTTTAATGTTTTTCCTTCCTCTCATTTGTGCTAAATGAGTTTCTATTTTGTTGTCGACAATATAGAGAAAATGTTTTATCTCAATATACACTAGTAAATCATTATATAATCTTCAGTAAATAAAGAAACGAGTTTCAATTGTATGTAACAATTGACCTGTTTCCTAACTTTTTAAACATTCTGTAAATTATTTATAAAGTTATATAGAAATTGTTATCCATTTTTATTTACAGTGTGGTGATTTATTATAAATATAATATCCCTATTTTTCGTTAAATAATTTTTTCATAAAAATGAAGAGGTTAAATTTAATTAATTTTTATAAAAGTTTATTATAAGAAAAAGTGACTTTTAATGGTAGATTTTAGAGATAACTTTCAAAAGTTAATAATATTTAAAATTTGTTATGACGTACGACATAGCAATGTTATATTATGCTGTGTTGAAATGTATAAAATAATAGAATACAAACATGTTATATATTCTATTTCTTATTAAAATTATTTTTTATACAACCAAATTTGCAGGGAAACAGGATGTTTTTTACTGTGCATTTTAAATATATAAATTATAGAATATGTTTTGGTGTGTATGCTGTCAGTTATATTTTTATTTTTCTATTAACTGAGCTATAATAATAAACTGAAGAACCATAATTTGTTTGATACAGTTTAAAATTTATTGATACTTATTTTTTTTCTAAAACCACTTTTATTACTTGATGATTATTTTGAGGAATTAAAACAATATTCATTTTAGACCAGATATTTATAAATTATTAACGTTTAATGAATTAAAATAAAAGATGGATGAGTATAATTATGTTTAAATCTTTAATTATTTATATAATACATATATAAAAACCGTATCAATGATTATTTTATAATTCGGTTCTGAATTTTAGTTGATATTGGTAGTTCTTTAAGATGCAAACAAGTATAAAATAATCACAATAATCACTATAAATAGAGTAATTGAATACATATAAATAATAAAATATATTTCAAAATAACAACACGGCAATAAACATTTAATAAAATAATTCTAAGCATTTGATGAGACTGCTAACTTTTTAAGATGTTCCATGAAAAGTTGAAGGCTGACATCATCAGTCAAAACTGGTGCTCCACCATCCTGTATCAAAAAGTGTTCATATTGAATTATTAAATAAAAATATTATCTTTAATATGCATAATTACTTACACCACCATAAGCATACATATTATTATGTGTTTGAGATGGATTTACTTTACATAATAAAAATCTTGCCTATGAAAAATAAAATACAAAATAAATAGCATGACAAATTCAACTTTATTTACTTTTCTAACCTGACTACCGCCTTGTTCTGTGTCGATATAACGAGGCATTGGAAACCTTGTTTTTAAGATTTCTTGAGCATCATCAACTGGTGCTTGAAGTAATTGTTTAAAATTACTGTACTCTGGTCTATTTTGATAATCCATAGCTCTCCATTGAGCAATTGTCTACAATTTTTGTAATCATGATATGACTTTCTTATTTTGAAGTTCATATTTAATTTAGAAAGAAAAAATTATACCTCGCCATGGAATATCAAAATATGGAAAAATGTATCCATCAATAATATTTTATCTGGTTGAATACTGCTTGTATCTAAGAGTACAGGTTCTGGTCTACCATTAAAACTATAACTATACAAAATAGGTTGAATCATTATTAAGCTTTGAGTGACATCTTCACGCATCAACATATGTCTGAAAAATAATTTTATTTATTAGAAAAATATTCATTGTTTTAAATATAATTAGATTTAATTATTTTCAATAATTATTGAAAATTATATAAATCATTCAATAAATAATTAAGATTATATTACCTATAGTATGAAGTTTCATCAGGACTATTATTGAAAACTTGTAAGAACTGCGATCTTCGCAAGTGGTACATAAATTGAGGATATAAGCTAAAATTTTCAGGAAGTCGAAAACTGTTTGGATCATCTTTTTGATATTCTCCAAATTTCTGACACTGAATTTAACAATGAAAATGTAATATAATAGTAAGATTGTGGCAAGTGATAGGAATTTTTTTACCAAACGTATAAGTGTTCTATCTGCCCATCGCATAACATCTGGACTATCTTCAGTTTCTGCACGATTAACTACCATGCGAGACATTAATACAGCAGAAGCTTCTTGATCAAAACTAGCAGTTACATGCATCATATTTTGTACAGGATCAGCCCAACTGAAGATTAAATCACAAATAAAAAATTATATAATTATTCAGTCTAAAGAGACTTTACTTTCTAGCTAATGTAGTAACTCGAATTCTTTTTTGTCCACTGGAATGTTGATATTGTGTTATAAATTGAATACAACCACGTCCTCCTTGTGGTATAGGTGACCCATGCTACACACATTAAAAAATAACAATAAGTTACATTGTCGTCAGTTGAGTAAAAAAAAAAATTTAATAGTATTATTACTTGATTGACTATTTCAAAGAAAAATGCACAAGTTGTATTTGGCATTAGACTGCACATTTTCCATTGACAAGTACCACCCAAACCTAGATCGCAGTCTGATACACATGAATTTTTTACATTTAGTGAAACACATGGGCCAATAGCTCCCATTACTAAAATAAGAAATATAATTAAGAAAAATATAACTTTTTAAAGAAGTTTTTTGTTATTTACTTTTTATCTCTCTTGAAGTTTTTACTTCTATGTTAGCATTAAATGCCATTTTTAAATTATTTTCATGATCTCTTGCCATCACTCTCTGGAATGTTTGTTTGAATAAAGATGAGTTAAATGAATCACCCATTACCATATGACCCCTGGAAAAAATATTCATTAATCAATATTTCTATTTAAAATTTTTTTTTTTTTTAATTTTACCCTGTTGAATTACAACATTGTTTCATTTCCATCAGTCCAGTTTGATCTAATGCACATGCATAAATATCAATTGTATGACCATTTGTAGCAGCTCTGACAGCAATACTATCATAATGTTTGGTAGCTTTTTTTACATATGGAGCATTGTCTTTCATAATTTGATCATGAGAACGAATTGTGTCTGATAATTTTTCATTAACTACATGACCAGGTCCTTGAGAACAAGCTCCGCCAACAAATAACATAATACGAGCACCAACATGTGGATAAGTAGACTAGAAAAAAGTAAAAATTTCATTTATGATAAATCTTGAAATATAACCAAAATAACGTAATTACCTCTAATAAGCTAACAGCGATAGATAATGCCATACCAGTACTCCGTAACGGTCTCATTCCTTGAGTTACTGGCCAGGGATCTTTTAACAGTTCACTTAATAAGTCTGACATATTTACATCACAATTTTGTACTGGTTGTATAAATCTAAACAATTAATTAAAATACTATTTTCATATTAAAAGGCATTTATTTAATAAAAATATATTAGTAAACACTTATCCAAAAAAAAATTATAGTGAGGATTAAATGTAAAAAAATTATGTTAACATCAGTTATTTAAAATTTTTCATAAATTATCAGCATAACAACTTAATACTTAACATAAATATTTCCTATCACTTGTAATTTTAAATCAATTTTTTATAAATTTAAAGAAATAAATTTAAAAATACAGTGTATATATATATTTTTTTCAATTCAATAAATATTTTAATTTTATTAAGAGCAAGTTTTGGGTATTATGAAATTATATTTTGACAAGAATGGAATAGCAATCTAAGATTTTCTATATTATTAAAAAAAAATCAGATAAGCAAGTGATAATTTGAATAAAAAATGCATTAAATGTATGTTCATGGTTAAATAATTATGATTTAGCAAAAGTTTAAAATACAAATATTATTAACAAAAAATTGTCTGAAACACACCTATTAGCAGGAATATTCATTTGCTGTTGCTGTTGTTGTTGAGGTGTCACTCCAGGTTGAGCAGCAGGAGTCGCATATTTTCCAATTCCTAAAATATCCTGAATTTGTTTTGGAGGTAAATCTTTGGTACCTCTAAATACATAGGATTTAGAAATACCATCACATCCTAACTCATGCACCTTAAAAATTAGTCATATATTAATCTAATGAAAAAAAATTTATAATTACTATTTACCTGGACAACATTACCAAATGTGATAAGTCCAACAAGTGCATTTGGAGGTAATAAACTAAGAGACATTTGTAATGAATCTTTAAGTGCGCCTAATTCATCATCATCCATACAAGTATCCACTACAAATAAAAATATTGGTGGCATAGTTTTCATTCTCTACAAAAGAAAAAAATAATTAAACTATATTTGTTTGAACATTTATATTTAAATTAGTATGCTTGATTTCATTAATCAAGTCAAACAAAAATAAAAGTTAAGTCATTATATTTTTACTGTTATAGTATATTCAATAGTAGAAAAGGATGGTATGAGTTCAGCTGGTTGATGTTGTTCTGAAATAGCTCCATATTGTGGAGGAAACTAAAAAAATTTTTTTTTTAAATATTATAATAATTTTGAAAAAATATATTTTTTAATTTATAAAATTATTAAACACTAACTGAGTTACACTGAAAACAGAAGTTACATATCCACATTTTCCCTCTGTAATCAACTTGACATAGGGGATTAAGAATTGCTCGGCAAGTATTTCGTGTACATAATACAGGATCATACTGAATTGGTGGCAATTCTATTAAAATAACAAGTAGATTTTTAAATAATTATATAAATTCAAAACGAAAATTTTATTACCTGGTTTTTCTTTTAATGGTTGATACAGACATCCTACTGGTACAACCAAACGAGTAGCTTCTAATCTGCTGGCAGGCCATACATTCCATGACAATCGCACTCCATCACGTGCCTCATTTTGTTCTATATATTCTTCATAGGTAGCCATATTTTTAGATTCAACTATACATAATGGGTTTAAATATACTTAATATATATAAAACATAAGTAAAAAAAATTGAAGTCTAAAAATTGTTGGTTGAAAATGATATTAATTTTATCAATACTACATTAAATACTTTATAATAAGTGTAGTTAAAAATATAAATTAATTCAAAAAGAAAGTTAATCTAAAGAAAAATTTGATAATTTTGAAGTATAATTAAATAAATAACTTGACAACTAAGAACTTTGGTAATATTAGATCAGTGTATACAAAAATTGAAGTCTAAACGTTTATGAGTTCTATCTATCATCCAATATGTAATTTTGTGTATAGTCATAAGCTTATACTTACAATTTTAGGACACGTCGATGAGATAATTTTCATAACACAACTTAAAACTAAATACAATGAAATTTATTTTATTTTATGAATATCCAGCCAAGTCCAGTTTTCGAAAAGATAGAACACGTCATTGGTCAATGGTAAGTCACGATAAAAAACCGTGGTTACCATAATACGATAGCAAAATTTAGTGATAATGTCTTATCCACGGTCTTAGATAAAGATTATCTTTAATATCAGACTTAGTCTATGATAACAAATATTCATTTGTTAACCGGTAAACACATGACCTATTGTATATTCAAATGGAGTATATCAATTCTTATTAAGTTTTCATTCATTTATTAAAAATTTGATTGCAACTGTTTATTTTTTATTATGAAGTTGGTTATATTTTCTTTTCTTTTTTTTTATTAGATTTAAAATTATTTTAAACTTGGTTCGGATATTATATAATGCTGTATAATTGATACGTTGGGTGTATAATTTGTAATGGTGTCTCGAATAACTTCTCGCCTCAGTGCTAGTTTTCGGCAGAAATATATTTTATCCAAAAGATGGATAACTGTAGGGAAAACAAATTTATTTGAATATAAAGTAGAATTTTCAGAAAGGTAAAATATTTTAATTACTTGTTACTTTTTTAGTACGTTTTTTATTATTTACTTTTACAAAAACATATATAACTTATAGGAACTCTTTAAAAATTTCCGGGGGAAAGTATGCACGCTTGTCTGATGGTTGTGCAGTTGTGTCACTTGGTGATACTTCTGTTATGGCTACAATTGTTAGTAAATCACAGAAGCCATCATCTTCTAATTTTCTCCCGCTAACTGTTGATTATCGACAAAAAGCAGCAGCAGCTGGACGTATTCCAACAAACTACTTACGAAGAGAATTATCCATATCTGAACATGAAGTACTTACTAGCAGACTTATTGATCGTTCATTGAGACCACTATTTCCTTCTTCTTACTATTTTGATACTCAAGTAATTTTTATGAAATATTAACAACTTATGTCATATAAATATTGTAGTACCTTAAATTTTTTAAATTTGTATAAATGATGTTATAGGTTATTTGTAATTTATTAGCAGTTGATGGAGTTAATCATCCTGATATCCTGGGTATTAATGCTGCATCAGCTGCTTTAGCTCTTTCTGATATACCTTGGAATGGTCCAGTGGGTGCAGTTAGAGTAGGACTCTGTGATAATAATTTAATAGTGAACCCTACACGAAGGGAGTTGTCTAGTAGTATTTTAAATTTAGTTGTTGTAGCTGCTGCACATAATTTAGTTATTATGTTAGAAGGATCTGCAAATAATGCATTACAGCAAGATGTATTAAAAGCAATAAAATTTGGTGTTAAAGAATGTCAACATGTAATTAATGGTATAAATACCTTGCAAAAAGAATATGGTAAAACTAAAAGAAAATATGAGCTAAAAAATATAGATGATACAAATGGCAACTTGGAAGTAGCAATTAATAGTTTATGTGAAACTAAATTAAGAGAAATATTTACTAACTTCACACATGATAAAATGTCAAGAGATAATGCCGTAAGAGATGTCAAAACTGAAGTGATTGAAAAACTTAAGTCCGAATTTGAAAACTTAAACTTTGAACTTTGCTCAATTATTTTTGATAAAATTATTAAAAAAATATTCCGAAGTCTTATATTTGAAAATGATGTTAGGTAATTAAATAAGCATATAAAATACTTTATATATTTATATTTAATTCTTATTTTAGATGTGATGGACGTAAACTTGATGAATTAAGAAATATATCTTGTGAAGTAGATCTATATAAGCCTCTACATGGTTCAGCTTTATTTCAGAGAGGTCAAACACAAGTTTTTTGTACAGTTGCCTTAGACTCCCTTGAATCAACTCTAAAGTTGGATCCAATGTCAATTTTAACTAGGTATGGTAAATAACCAGTGTTTTTATTTTATTTTATTTCTTCTTATGTAAATATAAATTATGTGAATTTTTTAAGTGGAATAAATGAAAAAAATTTTTTCTTGCATTATGAGTTTCCTCCATATGCAACAAATGAAATTGGCCGTTCAAGTCCATTTATGCGAAGAGAGATTGGTCATGGAGCACTTGCTGAAAGAGGTTTAAGACCTATAGTTCCTGAAAATTTTTCTTTTACAATTCGTTTGACATCTGAAGTGTTAGAATCAAATGGTAAGATATTTTTCACATAATTAAAAAGTCATAATTGTGTAATCATTAATTTCTAAATTAAATTTAATATTCTTGTATAATTTATTGTATTTGTCCAAAAATATTAGATGCATTATTGAATTAATAATATTTTAAGGTTCATCTTCAATGGCTTCAGTATGTGGTGGAAGTTTAGCTTTAATGGATGCAGGTGTACCAATATCTGAACCTGCAGCTGGTGTAGCTATAGGTTTGATTGCTGAATATGACCAAGAAAATATTCAGAATATTAAAGACTACCGAATTTTAACAGATATACTTGTAAGATAACTTTGGTGTTCTACATAAAATGACATTAAATAAAATGTTTAAATTAGGGCATTGAAGATTACTTGGGTGATATGGATTTTAAATTAGCTGGTACTAAAAAAGGAATCACAGCATTACAAGCAGATATCAAAATACCTGGATTGCCATTAAAAATTGTCATGGAAGCTATACAGGCAGCAACCGATGCTAAAAAAGCTATAATTAATATAATGAATGAAACTTTACAAAGTTTTAGGTAAACATAGTATACATTTTTTTAAGTAATTAATATATTTAATCGTAATGTTAGGAAATCAGAAAAAGATAATTGGCCAGTAACTGAAAAATTAAATGTTCCTGTACATAAAAGAGGAAAACTAATGGGGCCAGGAGGAATTAACTTGAAACGTATTTTGTTAGAAACTGGTGCACAGGTTAGTAATAATTTTAATTTAAAACATTTTTTTGACAATCTAAATACTTTAATAATATTTCTAAGTAACAAAAATTAAAAAGCATAGATTATGTATAATAGTTGGATAGTTGGCCTATCATCTTAGTCGGTAGCATTTTGTGTCTTGGTGTGTAAGTACCAGAGTTTGATTCTGTTGCACTGGGCTATGTAGGGTTTTCTGTTTTGTCTGGCATGTGTAATAGGTTTTAGAGAGAATGTTAAACATGGTTTATTTTAATAGATATAAAATGCTTTTTTTTTGTACTTCTAAAAAGAGAATTATTTATTTTCTGAGATGAATTCTTGATACTTCACTAAAAAAAAGGAAGGTAACTTCATTTGCTATACTGATCACTTGCTCAGTAAATAGATCAAATTGGCCCTAGATCAAATTTACTTTTATTAGTAATTTTTTTTTTTTTACTAACATTTTTATAAATATTATCGTTTAGATATCTTCTGATATGGAGTCAGGTGATTTTACTATATTTGCACCTAATCAAGAAGCATTAAATGAAGCAAAAGAAATAATAAATAAATTAATGGAAGAACAAGCTGAGCCACAACTTGAATTTGGAGCTATTTATAAAGCTAAAATTGTTGAAATTAGAGAAATAGGAATAATGGTTACCTTGTATTCTACTATGCAACCAGCTTTGGTTCATAACTCTCAACTAGATCAAAGAAAAGTATTGGCATAATATATATATTTTATGTTTAAATAAACTTTTATTATATACCTCATATTTTTTTAGATTAAACATCCTAGTGCTTTAGGAATGGAAGTTGGGCAAGATATTCAAGTTAAGTATTTTGGTCGAGATCCAGTATCTGGTAATATGAGACTCTCTAGAAAGGTATTACAAGGACCAACTTCTGGAGTTACAAGAAACATTTTATAGATAATCGTATTACTGAATAAAAAAATGTTTATAGAAAATGTCTGTTACTAGTTAAATAATATTGATCATTAGTTGCTATTTATTTTTAAACTCAATCAATTTTATAAATGTCTGTTGTTGACCTTTATATAAATATATATAATGTATATAATGAAATTATTAATAAAATCTGATAAAACATAATTGAAACATGTGTTTTCTAAAACAATTACTTAATTTGATGCATTTGATATTGATTACATCAATTAAAGTGTAGGTATTGACAAAAAAGTTATTAAAAAGGTAAATTTTCTAATGAATGAAAAATGTTTCTTGGGTTGTAATATTTATTTCCAGCACTTTATTTTTTCAACATTAAAATTATAACAATATATAATAGGTGTTTGCTGTAAATTGTAGTTAACTTTATTTGTTTAAAATATTATACAAAAAAAAATGATAAATATGTTACGGTATAATAAAAAAATGAACACTAAAAATGACATAGTATTAAAATAAATCACAATGTTTTATTACATTTAATAAATTAATACAATACTTGTAAATATTTCAATAAACCGAAAATTAATACATGTAATGAACTGTAAAATTATAGTACAAATTTTGAACATATTCAATAAATAAATAAATATCTTGATTAGTCGATTACCCGACTTAAAACATTATAAAACATAAATAAAAATCACATTTAGTATAAAAAATTTTGTATATAATCTTAATTGCAACAATATTAGTCGATTCTAATTTTTAAACATTACAAATTTGATCATTATATACTCTTTTTGATTAAATATTATACTTGAGAAATACATATAGTTGGTTTGTATTATAAATTAGTTTAGAAAACATGGTTGATTATTATTAATAGTCTATTGAAATTTGTTGACATAATGAGATCACATACCGAATCAAGTCGTTATTTTAGTAAAAAACAACTCTGTTTTCTAGACAATTGTTTATCAAACAATTAAATCGTTGATAATGACATACAACACTTTTTTACAGTAAAGTAAAAAATACATTAACCGTTAATTAATAATACTGGGCTTACATAAAATTAAGTTACTTTGGCATCAAAATGGTACTTAATTTTACTGAGTAACTCATTCAACCAACGCCGGAATGTTTTGATTATTCACTGAAAAATAACTCAAGTCCTAGTGAAAAGCTTTAACGCCTCTAGGTTGTTACCAACAATTAGTTGGAGGTAGTTCGACGACGGACGCTGAACTGCCCGGGTGTAGCGCTGAATTATTATTACCGTTGCTGGGCGTACGACATCCTTTGCTCATGTTGTCCAAAAGTTCACGGTTCATGGCTCGCCGCCTTTTAGATATGAACCACAAACGGGCAAAACATTTTCGGAAATTTTCCGATAAGACACCGTACAGTATTGGGTTGACAACAGTGTTGAGTAAAGCGAAAAGCAAGCTCATAATGAAGTGATGCGATCGCAGGAAGAAGTTTGTGTCGTCCGTGTCCCTGCTGCCGTCCACATAGATAAGACACATGACTACAGTTATGGGCAACCACATGACTAGCACGACTATGACGTTGATTAACAATACCCGCACCACTCTGACGTGTTTTTTGTATCTGAGTTCCTCGTGTCGTACTAATACCTGCCGGACAAATGAATTAATACTTAAAAAGTAAATTCCAATTAGTTTGCGAATGTCAAAATAATTTGCTAGATGAGCACTCTAACTGTACTCTGAAACGTCTCAGATACCAAATTTTCGTTTTAATCCATGTTAATGAAGTCAATTAGAAATTTGTTGATATTAACTAAAATCTTCTAGTTAATCGCCGGAAAATACCCACGCAAAGTTAATATTATCAAAACGATTTTAGAAAAAGTTTGACAGAAAAATTTGTTTGAATAAAATCAGAGTCATTGAACTGTTTGTTATACTAACAATCATACAATCTCTGTAATTCACTGTGAATTATTCAAAATGTCAGTTTATTAATCAGTATTACACATTGCCAACAATTTTTAGTGGTATGGTATATGGTTTAAATAAATAAACACCAGTCGTAAAAAATAAAATCACGAGCAGGTTATATTAGAATGAATGTCTACAAATGTTGATTTTAGTTTCGTTTCTAGTCTATTAGTTAATTTTAGTAATCTTGACACTGCAGAAAATACAATTATTTTTTCATGAATCACACATTGAATTTAAAGCAAACTGAGAAAATAATAAAACTGTTCTATGGGAAGACACTGATTATTGTGTGACGCGTAAATTTGAAAGATTCAATTTAACACAAACAATAGTTCAAATCATAATAGATTTATATCAATCTAATGAATGTAATGAAATTTAATCAGGAGTGTATAATCATGATATTGCACATGACAATTGAATACATTAACCGTATTATAGCACGAATTATTACTAGGGATATATTGACTATTCAGAGAAAATGAGGTATTGTCTTTGCATATTGATCGATTTGCACGAATTCGATTATTATGGTCCTTCTTGCAATAGCGAGTTATTAATGAAACATGCAACACATGTTTGCTGTTTCCCATGAAGTGAGTAGTACAGCGCTACTGTATTAATACCAATGAGATATGGCGATATTTGATTACACGCTTTATACATGCATCTGGATTCACTATCTTACGGTTCAACGAATTAAATACGTTTCTCAATTATAATTAGTACAACAGAAAAATACTAAAAACTATATGCCAAAAAAATACTGTGTATCTTATTCTGTATGAATTTATATACTGGAATTAGATTAACATGTAAAATGAATGAGTTACGTCCGGATGATTGAATAATCTTTAATGTTTAATAATAGTATTAATTGTTCTAAATATGGTTAAATATTAGTGTATAATAAAAATTGATCACTTGTGGCTAATTAATATAGTTTTAATTTTACTTAAATATTAGTGTCTTCAATAAATTAAAAATTTTTTTTTTTTTTTTTAATTTCTTAACCACAATTTTTAACTTTACGATATGTAAATTATTGTTTAAGATAAGATAATATGAATCATTATGTGTTACAATGAATGCTTCCAAAACGACCACCAATAATCAGAAGCGAATTTATTCATGTTAGTTGAGGATAGAGAGGACAAAGCACTTCAACATTCAGCGTTTTGAAATTTATCTGGACTTTCTATGACAAAAACCCTATTACGTCACTGTCAGCAATCGTAGTCTATCTTTGCCATCTGCTTCTAGATTTCAGACAGATAACTTTGGAGAGTTATACCAGAAGATTATGCTAAGTGCTCTTTATTTGAATAAAAAAAGGCAACCGAAATTGACCGATTTTCAGTTGTAATGTTATAAGCAATATTAATGTATTAAAAACCTATACAAGAGTCTTAACCTTCCCCACATGTTTTCAGCGATAAGTGTTTTATGTAATGCCCACGTGGCCTATCAGTAAAACAAAAATAGTGACTTTGATTTGTAAAAATTAGAAAAAAAATATCCCGTACAAAAATCATAGCTCACAAAACAAATTGTATAATGAGATGTGTATACCTGTGGAATAGAATTTGACGACGGCGGAGACAGGCTGTTTTGCGACATGGTTTTCGTGCGGTAAGTTGCTGACTGTTGAAGCCGTCGGCGCGTTTTGTTAAGTTTGTGGAATATTCGCTGATAATGGTAAACGAATAACGACAGGGGCAGCAGACAGGATAACGATACTACAGTCACCGTGAAAACGATAGACAGTCTGAACGTATCGTTTTTGGGGAACACTAAGGTGCAAATATTTATATCTCCATTATGAACAGTCTGTTGGTGAAACCAGAAAGGTACGGGCATGAACACGACACTTGCGATCAGCCACGTGAACACGGTCAGCCAAGCAGCTCGCTTAGGCGTCAGTCGCGACCGATACGGCGGCACCACAATGCATCTATGTCGATCCATACTGATCAGCGTCAGAGTCCACAGCAGCACGAATCCGCATACAAACTATATGAACAAACAAAATATTTTTAACTTACAGTAATTGTAATATTGTTATGTGAACTTGACTTTGACACGATAATAATTAACTCGAGTTGTATTTATAGTTCTTTTTGTTATTTATATTAACCATTTTGTACAGGGTCAAACACGCAGAGAATGTTTTAAATTGTTCAGCTTAAACATTGAAACGTTCGTTTCTTTTAATAAAGTTCATCAAAATTAAAATCTACTTATTTATTTTCGAGGAATTTCGTCCATACTTAATAAATCAATTACTTATTAAACTATAGTAATGATGATATGGTTTAAATTTTTTAACGTCATATGCTTGATGTGATAACTATTATAAAACACAGTTTTAACTGATGAAAACTATAATCAAATCAATTAATACAATTAAAATAATATGCATAGTTATTATTTAATAGAAACATAATCAAAAGGAGTTTATTATTTTAATTTTGCTTTTAATTATAATTTGTAACGGATAATTTAGCGCTGGCGGTTTGCCGGCATCACACATATGACATTTATTAAAACTATTCTTTCAGATTTTCAACAGCACGTAATGTTTTGGCAGTGTTACTGATCCATAGAATTATTTGTTAATAATGTTAATGCTAACGTCGATTTTCAGGTGAAGTGAACACCTCATTCCCTTTGTGCTTCATGTGTGTAATTTGGTATGTTCATAGAAAATTAATAATTAGCGTACAAACAGGTAAACTTAGTACGCGATATTAAGTTACACTTTTAGTTTTTATTGTCCATAGTCCATGTAGATTACAAATTACCTTTCCTAGTTCAATGACACGCGCGATTTCGGTTTGTTATCACGTCTGTCTGTTCTTTGGAGACGCCAACGTATTAAAATTATCCATAACATATAATTGCACAAACAATTTGGATGAACAGGAATTTTTTATTTTTCTCTAAGCATTAAAAAACACACGTGTAATCTAAATGGATCGGCATTATTAATCATATTGCTGCCAAAAATGTTTTTTATAAAAATTATTAAAAAAGAGCGTAAATCTTGTAGGTACTCGCGAACGAATAAGCACAGCAAGTACTTCAGCGAAGAGCAAAATTTCTATGATATTATTTTTAGCAGCGTACTCAATGGAAATTGTGGGGCGGTTTGTACGTTTTAAACGCTTTAGTTTAACTAAGCCAACTCGAAAACGATTGTGTTGATTTGACTTGATTTATTAGGTTTTTTCTCGTCAGTTAGTTAACATTAGTTTATTTTATTAGTTAGCTCTTAGAGTGCACAATTATTTGACATAGATTACATCTACGCTATGGCATTAAAAAAATAAATCAAGAGGTTCGAGTATTACTTAGTTTTGACAAACATGACTGAAAATTTAAAATTATCTCTCAGCAGTCGCATTTGTCCTATTTTGTAATTTTATAAAATAATAATGACAATACCGTTGAATTGTTCGATCTCTCTTTAACAAAATGTCAATATCTGATGAAATTATAGGCGATCTTGAAAGTCCATTTTTCCAGAAGCGATATTGGGTATAAAATAATATCGTATTACTTTATGAGATTACAAATTTTTCTCATTCAAGACAATAAAATAACATGACAGTTTTGCACATCGCTCCCAAATTTATACATCAAGAAGTTGCTTTATTACCTTAGGTTTGATGTCAGTCAGAGGTTTATGTGATCTTTAAATTCATTCCTACAAATATTAACTCAAGTCAAACAAATTGAGTAGGCGGTTGTATTGAGCAAACGGTACTGCAATTGGAACAAAATAATTTATTGCTTATTACAACGGATTGATAAAATAACATGACATAGTTTTATAATCAACAAAATCAGGTCGTACGTTGATAACTTTTTTTTATAAAAAATGTAAAAGAAATATTTTTCTAATGACTATATAGGTTTTGGTAACACGTTGGAGCTTACATATCTTGAAAAACAGTAAATACAAAAGTAAATCAATAGAAGACGGAAACGTAAATTTATAAACTTCATAAATTAATATAAGAAAACATATTCCAGGATAACATAATTATTGTATGTTACATAAGCTAATCAATCACCCCGCATACGTTTAGTAGATACTAAACAAGTGATGAATCCACGGGGTGATATTAAATATTAAAAATATATTAACTAACAATGATAAAAATGAAATTGTAAAACCACGTCGCAGAAAAATAATGAACTGCTATATCGAAAGAAATGAAGAATTAACCAGAATTTGACATGGTCATCTGATAATACTTCATAAATTTAAAAAGTAAGCGTTTTATTAAAATATTTTTTTGGAATTTTATAAATAGCAATTTAATTTTTACTAAAACCTCAACAAAATATTATCAAAATTAATTAATCATGCATTTTTTCTTGTACAAGCAATCATCATTTGAATAGCATTGTTAATATTTTTCATATTCACAAACTACCCCTGATTATTTTAAATTGATGAATATTTTCCGAGAACCTTCGATAATATGATTGTGATTACATAAATGATGTACCACGACAGTAAAGTTTAATATAATAAACTCTCATTGTATGTCCACAGAATTTTCAAAATAATATCAAAGTGCTTATAATTTGAGTACTTTAATATTTAAGATTTAGGCTCAAACCTCTGGGGTATTATGATGGGTATTTGTGAATTATGTGCTTCGTACGCTGAAGTGAACGTTATGCAATAATAGTAATAGTGTACTTGATGACTCATTATAGGCAAATGCAAGTCACAAAAAACACAATAGACGGCAGTCGCATTGTCGTTATTATAATAATTATTTTTTTGATACGCCTGAGATGCAGTTTTGTTTTTCATACTGAGGGTCAATTGGTGACGACAACGGGTTCAATTAGTAATCGGGTCTAATAGATTTTAACTCAACCACATTAACCCCAAGTTCGTGTACGTCCATTGAACACGCCAGCGAGTGGTTGTCATTTAACTACTATCCTCTTGTTGCCCGTGATAATTACCATACACGTAACTGTGGTATATAACATTAATGAGCGATGTGCGTTAATTGAGAGCGTAAAAATGTTGTAAAATTTCAAAGGCAATGACTACGATGAACCGTTTTGCCCATTTCCATTTACAAGTATTTCATTATGTAATTTTTCTATTATATGAGTAAAACATTCACCGGAATCAAATATTTTTGAAATTTATGTAATTTCATTGTTACTCGAGTGATTTTTATGTGAATTTTAAAGTTGTGTTTTACAGAGATATTATTTACAACAGGAGTTTTTTTTTTGCATTGTATGCTCAATTTTGTAAAAAGGAGATTGAATGGATAATAAATAAAATAAATAAATACTCTGTTAATTTAAATAATTTTATCAGTAACCTTTTTATAATGGCGTGGCTGGGCTTTTATTTTCTTTGTCGCAGTTTTATTTGAAATGTTTAGTTTTTAATTAATTTTTTAGGCAATTAAGCAATAAAAGACAGATGACTTAACTACTCAGTGACTAAACTGTGGGCAGATATTCTTAATTAGCTTTAATTTGACAATAATACGGTTGTGATGAATTAGTTATGGCTATTTTCATAGTGTCCGGTTTGCTAGTGTACATCCAATTGGAACATTATCGTACAACTTGAATCCAAACTCATTTAACAGCTATTAAAACTCAATTTAGACTTTGGGAAAAAATACCATAAAATTTTTTAGCGATTTTTAACTAATGAAACGCGAGATAAAAACAAGTTGTAGTTTACTTCAGTACTCTATTATTAATAGGTTTTGCATACCGTAATTTTAGTTAAAATCTTTTGTTTATAACTAATTTGGCATTCCTCCCAGTCTAATTTAATTACTTGTACGGATAAATATTTTTATGCCTTTAACAATCCGTTGAAGTATACTATTAAGATATGAAAAAACAACACTGTGATAATGTCAAACTTTTAATATTTACATTAGGGCCATCTTTGTTGTAGACTAGACGGTCACAAATTAAACTACTATTGGAAAACTTGCAGGAAATGTTTATGATTAGTTTAAATTTATAATCTATGGGAAATTTAGGCAATTCTAATCATTCCGTTTCCATCTTTAGGGTACATTGCGGAAGTAACTTTATTTCCTCTATGAATTTATCAATATAGACATTATTATTAACAACAATACAAATTTATGACCTTGATGTGTGCAATTAATTATAATATATTAATGAAAAAAATGTGTAAAAAAATGTTGTATTCATTGATAATGAGACTGTCGCGCAATAACATAATTTACAAGCTCATTGTCAGAAAAAAAATTATATTGTATTTTAGTACAAAAATTATCGTATTAAGGTGGCATCTTATTTTTTTATTACCTAATATAAAATTTACTGTTAACATAGACATTTTAAGCTATATATATTATAATAAAATTATAAGTAAAAATATTTGTTTATATGATTAATTTTATGTTAACACATAAGCCAATTAGTTAACGTTGGCATTGAACAAAGCAATTAAAAAATCAATTACCCATTTATGAAATAATAACTTTAAAAAATTATTAACATATTTCTTATTTAAATTTTTTTTAATAAATTTAATGTTTAGAATTTTTGAATAAAAATGACATGGAAGGTTGTCATTTTAGTTTTATAAACTATTTCATAAGCTGAAGGACTTTTGTTCATCATTAAATATCACATACAAAAATCTAAAGAGTATTCTGATTATGTATCGTACTCTAATTCTAATATAGTTTATAAAAAACTTTGAAAGTTTAAGCAAAATAAACAAGATATAAATTAGATTCTATTTTCATACGTATGAAATATTTTACTGAAACTTTATTTTTGCAAATATCGGAGTATTTTTTTAAGCTTACTATTTACCATTATTCAGTTGAAGTCCCTACTGATTTGTCACCAGTAAATAACCAGCAACAGTGAACCGTTTAAATAATAATACACAATTAGTCAGTAATTTTTGCGAGTACAGTAAAGATTATAGCTAAACAGTATTTTGTTCTTTTTTAGCTTTAAAAATGGCTGGAACAAAATTAAACAAACATATCTAATCTGTAAATTCTTTAATAAAATTTAGTGTAGTTTCATTTCATCATTAATTGTTTTTAACAGTTAAATGGAAGTTTTATGAAGTTCAACGGGTTTTAATCAGACCGTTTGACGCACAATTCGTTGACTATTCGGAGAATATGAGTCAGTTTTTTTTTAAGCGGACAAAAATCGTTTAACAATTTGCTATTGTTTCATTTATCTAATTGACGTTTCTCTTAATCAGCAATATACAAAATATTTTTTTTAACGATGACACGTTTGTGGAAATATGCTTAGTAAATACTTGGTTCCTTCTAATCGGTGGTGGTATTTTTTCATAAAGGCATATTACTTGTGGATAGTTTTTTTCTTTAATGTGTTGTTATAATCTACGAAGAACAAAGATAAAATTATATTTTTCTATGACAGATTTCAAACTAGTTTGATCAGCGCTAATTGGATTTAGTCTACGTCATTTATATTATTATATTCATATTAAAAAAAAATTAATATTGATAAAATTTTAAACACACCATTAGATAATCAATCAGTTAATTTAATTAATTGATAATTTAACTTTTTAATTTAAGTCAAAGAAAAAAATGAACTAATTTATCTGCTTAAAATTCACTAGTTTTGAATTTTATTTTATTTTATAAAAAATCAACTTTTTTTTATACACATAGATTTTTAAGTGAAATTTTGTTTTATTTTTCTCGTTTATTCGAAGGAATTCGGCAAACGATTTGATTTGTTATTAGATATGTACTTTTTATTTTAAAAATGTGATGTTTTGTCTACAAGCAAAAAAGTAAGTGTTATACCTGAGAATAAGGTAGCAGTCGACAAACGAGATCTCCAAAAGGCCAATTCGGCCATATCCGAACGTAGGCCAATATAGGAGTGGTGATGGCAAACAATAGATCGGCCACAGTGAGGTTGAGTAGGAAACAATTGGTGACGGTCCTCATCTCCTTGTAACGGAGGACGGCCCAAGCTATAGTGATGTTGGCTATGACGGATGCTGCAAATATCACCATGAGCACGGTCACTTCGATGGTGGACTCGGTTTTCTCATCACCGAATTCCGAGTAAAACGTGAAAAAGTACCGAAGGCCCCATCCCCCGACAGTGTCGTTACCCAGTAAGTAAGACGTATTGAACAGACTCATGACGATTGTCTTGAAGTCAATTTCACCTCATCTGAAATCGTATAATTTTTACCAATTAACAAATAAAGTGTGATTAATTTGAACAAATTGACAATTAACAAGTATAAAATAATAAACAATTTTTTTCAATCATCTTCAACGTGACGTGAACAAATATTTAATGTCTTGTTTTTAACGAATAGTATTCACTTAAAGTTTTTAATTTATACAAAGTTAATATCCTACGCGTTGATAGATAATATAAAATCATGAAGTTTGGAGTGTAGTCAGTGTTATTAAATATCTAATTATGCATCAATAATTTTTCTAAATAAATTTTTCGACAATTTTCATAACACAACAATTAAAAAACATTCGTCTATGTGATACAATCAATACACTGTATAAAATAAAAACTCGCATGTGCCATAGTGCATGTTGTAATATAGCAAATTATACATTTAATGTATCCTATTTTTAATATATTTGTATATAATATGTATTCGGCTAATTAATTTTATTAGAAAATTTTATCTATAATAAACAATGAGACACTCATTGTAAGAATCTAATGCCTCGCTTACAAACATTTCAAAAAAATGAACACGAAATTAAGTTATGTTATTTATAAAAATAATTAAAATTAAACGTTTTAATTTTAATACATTACACAATTATGTAAACTAAATTCTGCATTATTTAAGAAAAATAAATGTCATATATTATTGTCAAAAAAGTTATTATCTAGTTGTTTATTGAAAAAGACTTTCGGTCGTAGTTTATTTATTAGATTTTTCTGGAAACGCGGTTGGTGGTCATAATCATAAAAGAATAAAAAAATCCCTGCGAATGAAGTTCATTGTACACTCGCGATTCTATAATATGATAACAAGGGGACACATCAACCCAAATAAATTTTGTTGTTGAATAAATCAGATATTTTAGTTTGACAGCGGTTTAATTTTATTCTCAAATTTTAAACTGTACCCTTTAACAGGTATATTAAAACAAAATAATTATCTGTAAGTTAGCCTTAATTATTTGAAACTATCAAATGTTGTATTTATTAATATCATATCGAAAAAAAATTAGAGTTCTATTATTATTTAAAGAGAATAACTTTGTAGTCAAGTACAACAAATCTATTAAACTCCTTGCTTTCTGAACGCTTCATTTATTAATTCACTTACATTGTGTCAGAGCTTAAACAATCATAGTATTTATTCTGTACTGAATGTTAAAAAAATATGATGATATTGAATGTTTATAATATTTAAACAATAAACTTCTTAGTTTGTGATATCTTCTAGTAGTAATAAAAAACACAATAATAGTCGTCAAAGATAAACTGGAAACAAGAATTACTTATATTTTATAGTATACTGAGTAAATAGGTTTACATGTTTCGTAAGTTGTATTGAAAACAAAAAGGTTTGATTTTATTATTTGATAAGAAGATTTACACTGGTTTTAAATGTATCAGTCAATATGCGCCTGTGATTAAAAAACTTCTGTATTTATGTCGAACTGATATATCCTAAATGTCAAGTGTGTACTCTCATATAACGCGTTAGTGTCTTTAGTAAGTTATTAAGCAATTAATACTTAAATTATGAAAAATGAAAATTTTAGGTTAAATATATATTGTTGATTTTCATTGAAAAAAATAATTATTGGGTTATAGTTGTGGTTCAGCATTTATTTCCTGAAAGTGTGATTAAAATATTTTATCTGCGCTTTTTGAAATTTATGCTAGTCACAATTCTGAGCTGCACTTTAAATATGATCCGTACAATGAACTTTTGGAATATTCTTTTATGCAAAATTAAGAGTTTACTGCGAATGGAAATATCGTACTGTTATTAACACATTATGCAAAACTATGTAATGTAAAAGTAGTACTATTTTTACAGTTAAACATTCAACAACAAATAGAATAATAAATGTATAAAAAAATAAAAATGTATCAGTATCAAAATTTAATTAACGTGCAAGTGTAAGTATGTTTATATAAAAATGCCAACTGTGTAAATGACAATATTTGGTTAAAATAAATCGTTAGAGTTGATTATACATTTTGGTTACTGTCCAAGAACTTGTTAATGATCTATTCAACAGCCATACGTTTTTAGGAGTAAAATTACTATCAACGTAATACTCGGTGTTCGTGTTACTTTATTAGCCTTTAGCTTCTGGTTTCTAGTGGCATCCCACACGTATACAATGCGAATATATTGATTAACGTTACACGTGCAACGCTTCATTTTAATCGACTAATTAAAAAATATATTTATGAAAACATTAAAAAAAAAAAAAACCAAAATTGTCTGTTAAAATATTAAATTTGAAATTATAATAATCCAAACGAAATCGTCAGCGTTCCGTTTCTATTAAATTGCATTAGGACGAGAAACCGCGTCGAGCATCTTAATTTAAAGTCGCGTGACAGATGACACTAAATCTTGCGCGGAGACGTTTCTAAATCATTTTGCACGAGGTTGCTGTGGAGGTTATATTCAATTAATCAACAGTAAATATTATAATTTATTGTAATGCAGTGTAATCTGTCAGACAGCTAATACGCCGCGAATAATAAAATTAGCGGTTCGCACGTTCCATTTGGACTAATCCAAGTCAGCCGAGCGAAAAACAATAAATGCAAAATGTCGAAAAGCACGTTCGTTTGCAATGTTATTGTGTTTGCGTATCGTGACGATGACGTAGACCTCCCCGTGCACGTCAAACCGGTAGGCCCATCGGTGTGATGCATTGGCCACTGAACGGCGTTGTCGCATGACATTAAAAAACGTTCTGTTTTACATAGGGTCATGGTTTAGTCATTGGTCAAGTTCGTTTTATTAGTAAATAAGTACTCGGTCGTATTGAAAAACGGTAATAAGACCTTCGCGTAAGACAATCCTTGTACACATTTTCGGTCTGCTAGAAAGTACACACTCGTACACACAAATCTAAACACTAATCGTTGTTTACTGAGCATTCTAATTTCAGATGATATTTTTTGCAAAACATAATATCCGTCCGTTTCTGATTTAGAATGCATTGTACTTTTTAATAATGACTCCGAAATACTTTAACGATTTTTGTGTATACCAGTTTGTTGGCTTTATTTATCTGAAATGTTTTGTTGAGTATATTGTAATTTCAACGTTTTCACGAGTATACATTTTTAAGTATTCTTATCCGTGTATAACTGGGTAATTTCCAATAATTATCCAAGTACTCGAATTAGTGCGACTCGTAACACTATGTGATTCACGGGGAACCGTTAGAAATTATGATTAACGTCATTGATTGAATATTTTTTAACGATTTAACAACTGAAATATTCGGATTAATCATTGCGTCCAATGATCAGTGGACACAAGAAATTGAAATCCGGTGACATGTCGTGACAGGAGTATGTTACGAGTCGCAGTGAAACATTTTTCAGATAAATTCGCACGGACGTGAATTTTAATCACGAACATATCAAATGATAATAATAATAATTTCGAGAATTTTTTGCGAAAAAGTTGAAATGAAAATTAAGCAGCTGGTACGTCAAATTGGAAAATTTTTCTCTGTTTCGTGTTGTTTAGTTAGGTAAACAACTTGGAGAAAAAAAATAAAATACGTCCGATCAAGGTGAAGTTTTTATACGTATACCGGACAGTAGTGAGCGTAAGTATGATTTCTTGACTTTTATAGCAATATAAGTTTTCCGTTTTATTTGTGTACTATTGAGCATAACTTTATATTGATCGAAGTAGGTATTAGATTTATCGTGCAGGACAATGGTCTTACGTAAATACAAATGGTAAACCGCATAACATTTTTTACGGGAGAACTAATATTGTAAACTGTTAATGGGTACTCACTAGAATCCCAATTAAAAGTCATAAAGGAGACTTCTTTCAAGATGAAAATAATTACATGAAAAATATACGATTTTTAAATTTAGATGGGTAAAAGTTCTCGGGATAAAATAAAAGTTACTATAATTATTATTTTGCCACTGGACCTCAGTATGTTTTTATCATTCCCGCGTACTTTAGTCAAAAGCAAAAAAAAATATATCGCTATAATAAATTGTACAACAGAAAAAGTCGTTGACAGTTTTTTCGAATCACTTTAATTAGGTACCGTAGATGTGATCAACTATATAGTAATAGATGTTTCGAGTGAGCTGTAAAGTTTGGTTTTGAGATATTTATTAGAAGTATCGAAAACACAATAATCTTTTTCGGTTACCTACTTGGCTTTTCGAGGACAGTAAGAGAGAAATTGTCTCGCACTTTNCGCTCTGAGTTTTCGAGGACAGTAAGAGAGAAATTGTCTCGCACTTTCACATGTTCAATCCGGTGGATTGGATTTTCAATAAACGCGGAAAANGGCTTTTCGAGGACAGTAAGAGAGAAATTGTCTCGCACTTTCACATGTTCAATCCGGTGGATTGGATTTTCAATAAACGCGGAAAAAACATGGCAATAAAATTTACTCACGGATTTCATCGAGTCACCATCGACTTAGGCACACTTGTCTAGGGAAAAACGAAACGATTGTTCTGAATTGGCGCCTAGTTTTGTTTCTGTACGGGAAGTACATCACAATGCACCATTAAAACACCGCAGCGTTTGAAATCCGGTCACGCCGTACCGGACACACGAATAATAACAGTTTTTAAGATCAAATGTAATATTGTAATTTATTCATGAATATGTAACGACACATTGCCGGACACACACGTGTGCAACGAACGGACGCATGGACGCAACTCCCGCGTGTCGATTACCAGACTTTGCCGGCTAGTCGGCGGGACCCCTTCCAACATCAACTGGCTGCCGCATAGAACGTGTGTCCTGGCCAAGCGACAGCTGTTGGTGTTGCACTTTGACTATCACGCCGTCAAGAGTATTAACAGTTACAGCTTATACTTAATATCAATTTCGCACGTGTCGCTCAACAAACTTCAAGATAACTTTAATTGATTTCATTATCCAAATGCTATGAATGACGACTCTAATCCTTTGAGGTTATCTCCAAAGAATATTGATTGCTTAAAGTTGGCAAGACAACTTTTTCGCGGGTTCAATAACTTCTGTAAAGAAAATTAATTACAGTTTTTACTCGGCCATAACGAAAAATAGCGAGTTTCCGTTAAATTCTTATTGCGAAGGTAAAAAACGTTTTCAAAATCAAAACATTATATGTAAGTAAATATACTGATTCATCGTTTGCTTAGATCTTGGCGTGGACGTATGCCAAGTCATAAGCACGCATATCCAATTAGGACCTTATTACTTTATCAATTACTTTTGACGATCCTGAAAGAGCTACACCTACAAAGCACTTGGAAAATCAAAGAGAGCTCCAGTCGAATGCATTTTTATTTTTAACCACGTCCAGTTGGCTATTTCACTCGTTTGGTGTGTGCTTTATAAATAGCGCACAATGTACAAAAACACAGCACTAGGAAATGCAAATTTAAACTTCACCCGGTCATCGATAAGTTCAAACGGCGTAAAAGCAATTCTCGAAAATGAGCTCTACAGACCACCACACGGAGCAGTTTTACTGCTGCGTGCAAGTAATAAAAATATACTATGAATCCAATTGCACGAAAAACTTTTGTTCAGATTGATTTCCACTTATGAATTTTAATTAGTTTCTATTATAAATTAATGAATAAAAAACTTGAACTCCATCAATCGTGGATACTTATTTTATTATGAGAATGTCAACACTTTAAACAAATGTATCCAAATTTTCACACACATATATATACTGGAATTTTTTGACCCATACAATTTAAGGGAAATTTTTGATAAATAGTGATAAAAATTTTATATTTGTAAACGAATTTTCAGTACTTTATGTCAAATTTACACTACGTGTGTGTAAAATTAACGTGTATATTAATAATATCATAGTGACGTATGGGAATTTTTGGATTATTTCTTACAGTAAAGAATAAACATCGAATAAATAGATACACAACAATTTTTTGTTTTTTTTTTCATGTACAACGATCATATTCTTCATATCAATTTTTGTCTGTTATATTAAGCAGGTCCAGATTAAGATATATATGGGACAGTACCGTAAGATGGGTTCCTTTGTGGCAATTATCGCTACTATAATTAAATTATATTGTAGTATACGCTAACTATACTGTTGTATGTTATAAAAATGAACACGTTTATACTTTTATTAACTAAAATTAAAAATCATAATTTAACCCAAACTTCTATACGATTTCTATTATATTATATTTTTAGTAAAATTTCAAGTCAGCACTTTACATTAATATTATTTGGATCTCATTAGTATTGTCTTTAGTCAGCATACAACGATATACGAACATTCAAATTTACAAGTGTGACCTTATAACCTAAGGTAACTCAAACTAAGGTTATTTTAATAAATTTAAATTAATTTTAATTTAATTTTGCATTTACTTAATGATAAATACTTCGACAAAACACAATTTAATTTTCAATTATTTATTCAAAGATTTTTGTTTTACTTGAAACTTATTTATTTAAATATTATTAATTACTAATTTAAATAATTAATAATGGCAATAATTTCTTTTGTTATGAACAATTTTATAAGTTTAAAAAGAGCAAATATTATATTTTGACATTATTACAACCAAATCAAAAGTATTAATATCATATTGCACCAATGGCGGATCAAATATGTTTTTCACTATTTTCACAGTTTTTATATTAACTAAAAGACTAGAATATCAAAATATTGACACATATGTGAATCTTTTCTTCGATTCTTTTACGGAGTATTACTCAAAATAAAAAAATGTGCCAAAACTCTATCATGCTGTGAATACAAGGGAGCCATATATTGAAATTTCATATTTCTAATGTTCGGGAGTAGTGAAAATTAAGTTGTCATTTTCAGTAATAATCTACACGGATAATTCAAACTTGAATTCTAACTTAAGTTTAAATTAAAATTTTTAATATTAAACAATTAGGCGTAAATTTGATAATATTTTTAGTGATTTTATTTATTAGATGACTATTAATAGATAATTTTGTGATAAATTTTGAAGTACTGCACTAGTGATCATATTGTAAATGAAAGAGTGCATCACATGAATCCCATATGATTGAGACGTATCTGAGTAACAGAAATCTCAGGCGTTTCATAATAATTTAAATGAGTCACACCCACATGAATGTTTGGTTTTAAAACGTCACGACTGTAGAACGCGACAAATAACAGTTATTAGATGAATCACGTGTATCCACCTACTTATAGTAATTTGGAGTTACACTTAACAATTTAGAATGAAAAAAAAATTCCAACTTATAATTAACATACTATAATTTCAATACAATCCTTTGTTTTACTACGAACCAATGTTATCTTCAAATAAATTAAATGAATGGTAATATAAAAGCTTAAGTTTTTTTTATCTTTACTGGTATATAAATTTTGCTCTTAAGTAGTGATGAAAATATTTACTGATTGTTGGTGTACTTGAAAAATTAAATAATTGTAAAGGTTTTAATTAGTTTGAATCATTTTATACAAATTTACATTCGGAGTAAAATTGTTTTATTTATAAAGTATTCTTTTAAGAAACGAACTAATGTACACTTATTGTTTTATTTTAAATAAAAATAGGAGCTACAAACTTTATAAATAAAAATAATATTGGTAACTTAAAAATATATTTAATTTTATTGTTATTAATATATTCAAAAGTATTATTGTGATGCCTTATTTTATTAATACAAATTCCAATTATATGTAAAAAATGTGAGGTTCTATGTACACCAGTTTAATTTTCAATTGATATTTCATGACAGTAATTTAAAGAAATTGTTGTATTAAAATTAAGATTTTGAAATTTTTATACAAAGTCATGCAATTATAATTTATTATGCCATTCAAGTGAGACAGATTATAAGACCGGGCAGTTCGATATAAAATTCTGCCAGAGATCAGATCGGGCCTTTAAAATATGATCGATTTGTAATTTTTTTATTATTTCTTACAGTGTATATAAAAATTTAGACTCGATCAGATCTGATCTTAAAATGAAATTAATATTAAGGCCCGATCCGAAATATAGGCCTATGTATCTAATGAATTTACCAGGAAAAAAATCATCACCTTAACTTCAGTTTTTGAAAAACATTTTTTTTTGTAAAATTACCATAAGCGTAAATAGTAGAATATTTTTCAATTTCTAATTGTAATTTCCTTTCTCTTTGATAATATTTTATACAATTATAATTATAATTTTCAAAATGTTTGTGGGTATTATTGACATTTTTAGTGAGGTTGTGTATTCAAAATACCTACCAATTTCATTTATGGAAATAGCTCACTTCTTACAGCGAAAACTAGTTTTAAAGCATTCTATATCACCTCCCTGTAGAATCTTATTAAAATATTAATATTTCATGAATTTTTAAATTACTTGTAATTATTTTTGTACTTTTTACAATGATTGCTACTGTTTAATTATAAAAACTATTGAAATCTAATATTTTCTATAGTTTAAACTATTAATTAAGGATCAGTTCCTCGTATATAATAAATTCACAATACGTATATAATACGCATGATTGTATAATATGTTGCCTATTATAAAGGTAATTTTTTAAGTTAATAATAAAATACATTTTGTAAAAATAATTAATAATGTAGTTGTTTATTGAAAGCTGATATCAATTTTAGCAATTTTTCAGAAGAAATGTACTCAAATTATTATATTTAAGTGTAGAAGCTAATTCTTTTAAAGTTGTCACGCAGATTTATTTCACGTAAAAGCAAATATTTTATGCTATACATATGATAATCAAAAATCTCATAAACCCATTTTTGGGACGTATCAGCCTTTGAATATGAGCCATACAATTATTTTTATATAGTGTTATAGTATTTTCGAGTGATCCTTATTTTGCAAGTATGAAATTTTGATACCAAGTAGTCAGAATATTATTCTATTCTGTATACTACAAAATACAGAGAATATTGGTGAATTTTGAGCGTCCTAGGTCAATATTTTCATGTTCTCAAAGAGGTTGAAAATTGGCAAGAAAAGTAGAAATTTAGTTTTGCATGGGTATTTTTTTGAATATAATAAATATAGAAAAATTAAATAAAGTTAATATTGTTGAAGACAATGTCTAAAAAAAGAGTCCTTACAAATTTTTTGGTACATTGACTGTTAATATGTAATTAATAAAAACGGTTTGATTTTATATTTCATAAAAAACGTTGAACGTTTCGGTATTTAACATTTATCTCTATAAATATTATGAATTCAAAAATAATTTACACATGAAAATATGTTAAAAGAAATACGAATAAAAAGAGTAATAACACAATTTGTTATAAAACTACAACTTCAGCGAAAAAATTGAAAAAAAAATATGAAATTTTTAATGAATTTTGTTTAAAAAATAATATTATTCTAATTGAAACCTACAATTACCCATTTAACTATATCTGCTTTATCAATGTAAAAATTATATCTTAGTTATTTGACATAAATTATTCTTTATAGGGCATTACTTTTAATAAACCTTTGACTCACAAAATTGTAATCATAAGCTTCGTATTTTATCAGTGGTTAGCCTAACTTACCAAAGTAGAATGTATTTATAAGTCTATAGTGTTTTTCAAATCTTAATAANGTCATTATTTATAGGGCATTACTTTTAATAAACCTTTGACTCACAAAATTGTAATCATAAGCTTCGTATTTTATCAGTGGTTAGCCTAACTTACCAAAGTAGAATGTATTTATAAGTCTATAGTGTTTTTCAAATCTTAATAAAATGTCGCGAAATATCAATAAATGTCTTGTAAGTAATGTGTGTAGTGAAATTTCTGATATTAAATTACCTTTGAGCAGATTGCCCGAATGTTTAATTTTATAATATGCTATAATTAAAATTAAATTTTTATGGAAGTTCTACTATTGAGCATAACCAATGTTTGTTATGCTGAAGTGAGGCAAGAATACCTAAACTTAATTATTATTTTTATAACAGAAAAAAAACTAATAAAAACATTCAAAATGTTTAATAAAGTTGATATGTATTGTAAAATGTTATGAATAATAGTGTTTTAAACTAAATATTTTTTCAATGTATGAATTGGTATTCCCAAAAGTTGTCATCGATAATTAAATTATCGATTGTTCACGTACATTTAATTTTGGTTTTGTTAATAGAGTTT